GTATAAGCTAATGAATATAATGGCGTTACTCAAACGACGGCCCAACCAGTTTCACTTCTATGTATTTGTTGTTATCCTTGTTGATTCTGTTTGTTGCTTCTACTCATTCAGTTTGTTGTTGGCATTGATGTGTGGGAAAATTGCTTAGCACCAATAGTCCTTTGCTTACGCATGTGTGTGTGTGTGTAGAGCAAATAATGAGCGTAAATCATGGTTTATCGATAAATATGGACAAAGGCTAGGATATATGTTGGCTCATGTGTTGGCTAAAGGTTTATTGAAATTCATGGTGGAGGATGTGCATAAAAATGATGATGGAAAACTATGGATATCCAAATAGAAAAGCTAAGAGCTAAGGATATAAGGGAAAAGATTAGTTTGCTTCAGGGTTTGGCTATAAAAAGTATCCTTACTTTATAAAGAAAACTATTTATGCGGTGAATGCAGAAATACATAAAACTGAATAACATTTTTCTTATATAAATAAATTTCCTTAGATTTCTTTATGAAAACACCTAATTTTTCATACACATTTAACTGTAGGAAATGTAAATAAAATATGCAAGCTCCAAGGAATTAAACTGAGCTCCTCCCAAAACTAATTATGGTTCCCATGCCGTCCTCCTCAATCACAAACAGAAGCCAGGAAAAATGCACACACACAAATTTTAAAGGGGCTTCCCCCCCTAATCATGGCACGCCCCTTTTCTTTTCTTTTATTTTCCTGGCCCTAATCAAGTCCAGGCCGTGTTCTTATCTTATTGTCTCAGCAATTTAATATTTATGCTGCCGACGGGGTTGGGGAATAGGTCGAGGAATGGGCATTGGCCTGTAGTTACAGTCATGGTCCAGCTTAACCTCCATTTGAACCGAGACCCTGCGGAATCCCAATCCCGGGTTCCGGGTCCAGTTCCAGTTCCCCAGTTCCCGTCTCCGTCCCACGCTCATCCTAATCATCATTTTGCCTTGTTTTCTTTTCATTTTCCATACAATTTTTGCCCCTCTGCTTTTCCGCCCACCATTTTTTGATGTTGCCCCGGGGAGGACTGAAGTAATTGTTGCGCTGCCTGCCACGCCCCCGGGGCAGAATGTGGCCGCTCGGCCCCCAGACGCATTAAAGTCAGGCCAAGCGAGAATCGCGAATATTTTTTCATCCCATTGGGTCCTGAAAGAGATAGCAAGCTATAGTGAGAGAAGGACGGGGAGAAAGGCAAAGAATCTGAGGGGGTTTAGGAAATATTTTTACTCAAAAAATTGTTGGTTGCTGAAGCTTAACCCTTTCCTTTTTTGGGTTTGGCTTAGATCAAATTTGAGGTACAGCAATGATTCAATTAAAAGAAATACTTGGTTTTTAAATTAATCATTAAATTTGTACGAATCTTTAATTTTCCCTTAAGCTGTCATGATGTATTTTTATAAGCTTGTATATTTTTCTGCTCTTTACACATCTCCTCCAATATATAATAAATATACAAATAAAACCTCCCATACAACTAATAACAAAAAAGAAAACATCGCATAAGGAAATGATTTTGCATTGTGAAGCCTTTTACTCTGGTTCTTTTCAACGTCAGCATAGAATGCATTGCCTGCAAACCGGTTTTTATTAAATTCCAAAATCGAATTGCAGTCTTTGGATCCCGCCGCACATCCTTATGAACTTTTACAGAGCCATTATATGCAAATGATGAGAGTGGAGAAAGCAAATATTGCAACCTCGGGCAGTGGCCAAGTATAAGCGATGGCAGGACCATGGACACGCACAGGCCATTGTTTGTCCTTTGGCAAGATGAGAATGGGGATGCGAATGGTCTGGACTCTGGCTCATGTGCAGACATTTACATAGGCAAACAGCTCCGGCTTCTGGCTCCTTTCATCTGCTGCCTGCCGAGATCCTGCCCTGCTATCCCGGGCATCCTTGGTGTCCCGGCACGAACTACTAATAAACCAAAGACGACCAACAACAACAGCAGTAGAGCTGGCAGCGGATATTAAGCCTGAACCGAGCCCCGAGGACTCAAAAAAAAAAGAGAAAAACAAAAAAAAATAGAGGATCCTTTGGGGCAAGAACAGAAATGGCCAGCCTCCTGGGTGAGGCAGGAACACAGCAAAGAAGCAAACCAACTCCCTAACGAGTCCAACTTTTTGCCAAAGATTAAAGATGTCCGGCAATAGTGTAGCTATGTAGTAGTGACCTGATACAAGGATTCACATTCCTCCATCCCAAAACCATAAAAGGACCACCCCAAAAACCGATGACAGCTTTAACAACCAAGCCGCCATGGGGCTCGGCAGCAACAGATGAGCCAGGACATTTTCCAAAAGAAATCTCTTTAGGCGAAATGGAAGCGAATCGAATGTGATTTGTCGCCTATTAACATGTACAGTGGGTTAGGACAGGATCATTTCCTGCAGTTCATTTTTGGTTAATAATAGAAGTTAACAAATATTTATAACTTTGTATCGCTTCAATAGTAAAAACTCATTTAAAAAGTCTTTAATTTGAATGGAGAATCATTTCAAACTTCTTTCTCTCTTCACAGAGACATTAAACTACCAGAGAAGATGGTAAAATGTTAATATTGAAAGACAACTACAGACTTCGTCTCTCCTCTCGAAGCCATAAAAGATACTGCCTGAAAATCATCATTTGACACAGAAAGTTTCGACTTGTTAGCAATTATGCACGTGTGCCATTTCATGAACAGAGGGTTGAGTTACGCATAAATTTTCATGTCATATGTGCTAAAAGTTTCTTTTTGCTTCATTCTATTCGCAATTTTCCTTTAACGGGCATCCTCCTTTTCACTTAGTTCGTCGGCGAATATTTCTTGGTATTTTTGTGTCCTTTGCAAATTTAATCACTTAACCCCAATGAAGTATGAAAGAAAACTTTTGTCGCCCACAGAAAAAGTTGACAGAAGAAGAGCAATACAGAAAGGAAAAAGGAAATTCACTTTTCTGGCAAGTGCACGGAAAGAAATTTATATTGAGTTGGGTTTTTAAATTGTGCAATAATAATAAATCCTTTATTTCGGTATGTAAAATTAAAAAAAAATGCAAAATAAAAAAAAATGCAAAAATATAATAGAACTTTTCTTTCTCGTTGTGTGGCTGAGGGGAAATTGATTTTTCACTTGGCAAAGGTCACAGCCTGAGCATATTAATTCCACTCAAACCCCGAAACTTCCAACTCCGGCACAACAAAACGAAGAACATACAAGGAACAGCTATTGTATGTCCTTTTGGCATCCTGCACGGGCGGTAGTGTATATATTTAGTGTGCTGGGGAGTGTGTCAAGGCGCCCAAATGACAAAGTTACCGAAATTACCCAAAAGAGAAAGTTTCTTTGAAACTGCTGCTGCCTCTATTGATGCTTCAGCTGTAGTGATGCTTTTCCAGCTGTCACAGTGATCACTCGAAATGGGAAAACTTGGGTTTAAGGACCTCTTCTGACAGATATTCAAATAGCTCAGGTTAGACCCAAGATAATTACTACTTTGAATACAATTTAGAATGATTTTGTATTAATTAAACTTCAAGCTACATACTTTCCTATAATGAACTAATGAATCTTCATCAAATCTCTCTCCTAATTAATAGGTATTAAACTAACATCTACTTAACTCTTGTAAGTGATCACTGTACCTCTTTAATTTTTTTTTTTTTTTTGCTATCCTTCTGGCTTTGCGTCACAGTTCCATTTGCAGTTCGACTCTTAAGCAGAATTAATGAGCGCAGCAGACAGAGAATGGGAGCATGTAACCTAAATTCGCTTGAAAACCAAATAAAATGAAAGTTTTCTCTATTTGTTTTTCCGTTTTTCCCTTCTCGTGTATTTGTTTTACCTTTTCTTATGCGCATTTTTCTTTTGTTTTTTTGTTCTTTTTTTTTGGATGCTGGCCAGCGAGTTGGCCAAGTAGAGTTCACATGCCGCACACACATAGAGCAAGGACATGATGCTTTGTGGGTAGAGTCCTTACCGAAAAACTTCACCCATGCAGTCTCATTAATGTTTCCCCTGTTTGACTCTGCTACCGTCACCCCGACTTTCCTTCCTGCTTCCTAGGACACTGTCATTTGACGCAACTTTTCCTGCAAAATTGTGGCAAGGTCCTTGGCAGCAAGTGGCTCCTTAAAGTACTGCTCACAGTCTCACCTGCTCATGTATTTATATGTGGTAAGATGGTTTTCGGGGGGCGAGAAAATGCATTTCCATGGCTACAACTCCAAAGCGTATATGTAGATATATTCACATTTTACAGTGTGCAAAGATATGTCTGAATATCAGGCCAAGTTTATTGGCAATCTTGATTTACCACTTGTCAGCTTTATTGTGGCCGTAAGCTCAAGGTTTTACAAACACCCAAAATTATTCAGTCAAGAGCAGTTTGATTTTAAGTTTGTGTAATTCTGAATGAAGTCTGAAGTATACATTTAGACTGAGGTATGTTTAAAATTAATTCTCTTGCTCTTAAGTTATAAAAATCTAAAGGGAAATATATTTGATATAGATTTAAAGTCAGGTAAATGCAATGTTGAACTCTTTTTCAATTACTTGAAATGTTTGGATTACTATCATTAGCAAAGCATCCATATCAGTTTTGTAATAATTTGTAAAGTTAGCTTTGCCATAATTGAATCATTAAATTCTTAAGCGTAATCTACCTAAACTAACCATTTTATCGATTGATAAGTTGACCTTTAAATTCCAATTGTTAATTCAGCCTCCGGCACAATAATTCAATCAATTCAATTGGCTATTCCATCAGTTAATTGCAAATCAGTGAAAAACTCATTGCTTAAACATCTTTCCTTTTGCCGAAAGTGTGCTGTCTTCGGGCAAACATGACAATGCACTCGACTTGAAATCAGCTCAACTGAAGCGACAACAATTGCAAGTCATATCGATGGATAAGGGCAAAGGACACAGATGATAAGGCTTCTCCTCCTTGCCTATGTATACAATAATATCCTTTCACATTTTATTACACTTGTAATGTGCAACGATTGCGGAGCGGAGGCGGACAGGCAAGAGAGCAGTCATCCTTGGAGTGACATCCGCTGGCGATGTAATAATGTGGGACACGCCAAAAAAGTAGGTGGGCGTAGATATATATATATATATCCCCAGATTCTCCCTACTATATCGTGTATGTATGTGATGGTATCGTTGTCAATATTGACAATAAACAAGTTTGCCATAAAATGTTACAAGACTAGCAGCCAAGTCAGGCAAAAAAAGAACCAAAGTTATTGGGTCCCGCCTCACCTCATACATATGTATGTATGGGCCCTCAATCATGTTGCCAAAGCAAAACATCATTTCCTGTCAACGCATTGACTTATTAATCTATATAATTTAATATAAAACACATATACTCATACCGAAATACAGCAGCACTCTGGCAAATTAAACGTGAATGAGTTGATGGTAAAATGTTTTTTATAAATTATATCGAATATACATATTGTATTAAAGGGTTTTTGTGGGGCCAAGTCCATCGCTCATTTTGTTCGTGAGTTGACACAGGCTCTAGTGAAAATAAACTTTGGTAATTAATTAAAAATTTCCAGCTACATAAATCAATCAGGCGCCGGGCGAGCTCAACCCAACATCAATTAAGGGTTTAAAGCACCTGCAAAAAAAATATTATCAGTATGGTAAAATTGCTATCAAGATTATCGAAATATTTTTATTTTATTAAGTTTGAGCCTAAGGGTATTCAAACTTAATTGAGCTATTTAAAAATTAGCTAATGAAGAAAATTAACAAAAAAGAATGGAGAACATATATGTTTAAGAGGCTTTTAATATAATAATATTAGAGATTAAGTTAATATATTTATATATCCTTCAAATATATCTTGGGTATTATTTCCATGTGCAGGCTATGCACGCATCACAGGAATAAATAATTTTCCATCTGTTATACTGTCATGGCATTTAAACCATAAGTAATTAGTTGGTTAAATACAACTTTAATGCGTTTACTCTTGAATTTCATTGCAGATTTCAGCGTTGATGGCCTCAAACTGACCGAGATTCGCATTCCGCAATACGTGGTTAAGGGCTCCGCGACGCAGCTGGAGTGTCTCTACGATCTGGATGGTGAGGCTCTCTATTCGGTGAAATGGTACAAGGATGGCAACGAGTTCTATCGCTATGTGCCCAGGGATATGCCGCCCGCGCAGACCTTCCTGCTGCCAGGTGTTAACGTTGATGTGAGTACCCGTGCCCATGTCCTTATATCCTTATGTCCTTATGTCCTTACACATTCGTATCTTTGCCCGCAAAGGAGAAGTTTGTAGCTGCTGCTGTTGGTGTCGCACTAAAACTAAGCATTAAAAACAACGTTGCATACTTTTGCGGTGCCTGCCGAAATAACAATGCAGTACGCCAGGTTCCCCTTGTGTCCATACACTGAGGGAAAACTATCAGAAGAGATAATTTACAGAGAATCAATTTTTTATTTCTTCTTATAAATTTAGTCAAAAGCTTAAAAAGCAGTGAAGGAGTCATTGCCGGCCCTATAAATCTTATCTTTAAAAATGTCAACAAATTTACAAAAAAATTTAATTTTTTTAAATTTTACTAAGTATGCATGTCTTTTAACCTAAGAAACTCAGAACAGTTTTCCGATTTGAAATTAATGCTTTTTTGGCTGAGTTATGATCAAATACGAAGTACACCAGTGCGTATACGTAACTTTTTTTTAGCTTCAAAAAGTTGGTTATTTTTGTTGTTAAAAACTAAAAAGTAAACATAAACATTAAGTTCTATTTCTATATTATTTAAAATGTAACATAAATTTTTCTGACTGCTTGTTTTTATTCCATCTTCCTTCTTTTATGGTCTTGTGTGTGTGTGTGTGTGCTAGGGAGGAAAAAAAGGGAGAATTGTTTATCGCAGCCCCGAATGAGGTTGTGGAAAGGTGATTTTGGTGGCAGGAAGGGAATGGCCATAGCAAGGATAGGTGAGTCCTTGTCTCTCTAGACAATGCACTACCTTTTTGAGCAGAGTCTGCGAGAAACAGAAACTAAAGGACAAAAGAACTTCTAGACTTAGCAGAACGCCCTCGTACTTGGATGTTGTGATGGCACGCCAAGAGACTTGGGACTGACCTCAGTCAGGGGTCTTGGGGAAAAAGTATGAAAAGATGGTTTCAGTTGATTAAAAATAAGGAAAAGACTTTGAACAAGTTTAAGAGAATGTTATAAATTATAAAATCATAACTAAAGCTAAAGTTTTTTAATATTTTATAAAGTTCATATTAATTAAAAAACTATTAAAATTAGGTAAATATTCAAGTGATCTTTCTTAAAAGACTTACACAATTTAATACTTTCTTAAACTTTTAGAAGTTGGTATAACCAAAACTTTGCCTTATCTTTGTCTTTTTCCTGACCTCTTACTATATTTCACACTATATATACAACACAAATTCAAAAAATACACTCTACAAAGTTTTCAGTTTATAAATTCTTTGTCTTAGACAATTCTAAAGACCACATTTTTATCCTATTTTTATGAACTTCATAGCACGCTTCAAGCCAAAGGGTTTTAAGTTTTAGGAACAGATACAGATGGCATGTCAAACATATGCTAAGATAGATAAAACATTCGCAGATCGAACTGTTTAATCGACCGCAAAACGAGAATGAGTATTGAGCACTTCGAGTGGCGTTGCTCCATTATTTTAGCCACTAAAACTTTGGCACGTAACAATGCACTAGACGTCAACCTTCCCCCGGAAAACCCGGAAAATCTCCCATTCCAGAAAAGGGATGGCTTTAGGTGGTTGTTTTCGGGGGAGGGGAGCATGGGAAAAGCGAGTTTTAGATAAGCACGTGAGCAGACAATCGCAGTCGCAGTTGATGGTTACATTCGACATGCCACACGCTCGCTTTTCCGTCCTCATTTTGACCCCTCCTCCTCCTCCTCCTCCTCCTCCTCCCTCTAATCGGCTACCGAAAAAGTGAAATCTGGTTTCCAGCTCCAAACGCAGTCCGTCCCTGTCGCTCGTTAAGTGCAATAAATATTTCAAGTTGCGCTTTTGCGCTTCCCGGCGGCTGTGGGCGTGGCCCAGGAAGAGTGTCCATAAGGGCCGCAACGAATTCCATACTATTTTCCACAATCCAAGCTTCACATTACCGCTAAACGATTTCCGTTTCGGTTTGCAGTGGGTTCAAAATGGGTTCAGGGTCTATAGAATTAAAGAATTACAGCGATTGAATCTTAAAGATACTGGAATGATCTTGAGGCCTTCATTGGAATGAAAATAAAATAATTTTAAGAATGGATTAAATTAAACTTTGGGGATACTAAACCCTGTATTAAATTTATTTAGTTTAATGGTGATGAAAGCTAAATACAATGAATCTATATTGAATAATTATATATGAAGAATTATAGAGAAAAGTGTTAACTTATCTTACTGTGAATTAGAGAACTACATAGATACATCTTACAGATACTGGACTGATCTTTAGGCCTTACTTTGAATATAAATAAATATTTTTAAAATGGATTAAATTAAATTTGTATAATACTGAATACAATAGTTTCTTTTTAATTTCATTATTAAAGGGGGATAAAAATTATATACAATCAATGACTTATCTGACTTAGAATTAGAGAACTACAGCGATAAATCTTTCAGATACTAGACTGAACCTTAACTATCTTTGTCAAGATATGTGTACTTGAATATAACTTATAAAAGGAATTAAAATACAAGAAAAACAAGTCTCGATACCTAAGATTAGTATAAATTTTAAAGCAGAAATATATAATAGTCTATTATTTAATTGCTACAAATCTTTATGATAATAGTACCTCCAAAATATTATCTCTAACTTCCCTTAACACAACCACTGTGCGCTGTTCCTTTCGCTGCTTCGCGGCAAACTTTTTTGATGATGGGGAGGAGTACAATGGGTGTTACAGAAGATGCCAGTTAGCGATAACCAATTGATGCGGATGTACAGGGTATGTGTGTGTATACTATACTCCATTGGCTGGATATTGTTTTAGCATAATCGATTTGAGTGACTGGAGAGAGGGAGAGGTAATGCATACATATACGATACGAGGGTACTCTTGCTACTTCGTCTTGTTTTATTGCAGTTGGGGAATAGTTGGGGCTCTAGGCAAACTTGGACTTAGACATGCGGTCTACCTGGGCTCACCGTGTGTTTGTGTGGTAAACTATAAATTAGGTTAAAACAACAGCAACGGGGCCAGGAATGCGCAATAAAAGATAACAAAGTGCACTTTTCTGCTTGGCCAGATAACTAAGTGCGGGAGGGGTTTAAACAACAAGCCGGAGCGATCTCCTTAAGCCCCGCGTTGAATCTTTCCCCAACCCCACATTTAGACCCGGATTTAATGGCTTAAAGTTCAAGTGAAATATTTGCCTAACCCTTTTTTTTGGTCAGCAGACATCCCAGCGTTGACCCTAGCAGGTTTTTTGTTATTTTTGTTGGACATCTCGGACATTTAAAAGGCATTTACGAAAAACAAAAAAAAAAAAAACATGAAAAACATGAAAACTGAGTAAAGGGAAGGCGGCAGCATGAAAAACAAGCCAAGCAGCGGCAGTTTTCAAAAGCAATTACGTTACATTAACGTCCAAAGTGGCTGCAGGACCCACGGCCGCATGGCTCCTGTGAAAACCTCCAACTCCCCCTTTTCGCCGTCTCTGGTTGATGGTATTGAAACTGCCAATGACAACGCCAGGGAGTTAAGCAGCAATGGAGGGGATCCCTGCAACTTCTCCCCCACTTTTCGTTACATTAATTTTAACCATCTTCCATCTTCTGCGTCGCCATCATTCAACAATTTCACTTTGCCGAGGGACGCTTTCTGGTTTAATACCCTAATTAGGGGAATGATTGCTACACAAAGCAGGGAAAGCATTTTCCACATTTGTTAAGCTATTTAAGTCACTCTTTTTGTATAGAAATAAATACTTTAAGGGTGGATTAAATGACATATTGTGAATACTAAACCTTATAAGAATGTGTTTATTAAAAAAGTTACATACAATGCATTTTTATTCAAGAATTATAAATAAAATAAAATATTGTGAATATCAAAACCTATTAAGTTGTGAAAGAAATTACATACAACTATATTGAAAAATGATAAATAGTTGAATATTAAGCCCTATAAAAGTTTACTTATTAAATTTAACTATAAAATTGTAAAGGAAATAAAAAGAATCTTTATTGAAGAATTTTTAGAAAAGATTAACGTATTCAATTGAATAGAATCATTGAATGTTAGTTGATAAATTTAATAAATTGTTCATAAAATTATGAGATCTTTAGTTAATCACCTTTTTACAAGTTTTTGATTTTAAAATGTTTTTAAAGAAAGATACTTTTATCGCATAGAAATTAATTTTAACTAGTATTCATGACCAAAATTCTTTTACAAGTTTTAAATGTATTTATATTTTATATCCCTTATTTTATTCAGATCTTATCTATACTATATATTCCCCTTTTGATTGTGAAAAGAAGGGTATTAATTTCTTCGATCCTTTTAAATAATTTTCCCTCTCCATTCTGACCGTTTCCTTTCTGCTCTCGTTTTTAATTGCAGTTGCACAACTCGAGCGACGCGATTGTTACACTGCGGAACGTCAATCTGCTGTCGACGGGCCGCTTCCGGTGCGAGGTTTCTGGCGAGGCGCCCTCCTTCCAGACGGTCACTGAACATGGCGACATGGTTGTTGTGTGTAAGTACCACATATATACATACATATATCCCTACCAGCACCGACCTACAGTTTATGTATATATATATACATAATATATATGTGCTAGCAAACTGAAAGTCGGGGCGAAAACTTATAACTCTAATTAGAAATTGTGGCCATTTGGCGTTGACTGCTGGTAGCCCAGATGCTGTGGCTAAGAGAGGGGTACATGGTAGTTCCTCCCGTCTTTGGTTGGGAAACTGATGCTGACTTTGACTTTTACTCTTGAAACTTGTCACGGGCGATGGGATTAACCCTAAAATGGTCAGTTTCAATGCAGGAAAACCCCTAAACTGGTTTTGCTTATATACAATTTTCTAAATGTATCAAAATTGTGGTAAAATTTATTTTTGTGAAATAATTAATGTATATTTTATTTATGTATATAATATTTTATTTAATTAAATTCATTGCAGAAAGTAATTTAAAATACTTCAGCCTCTTGTTTAGCTTTGAATAAGTTTTAAATAACATTTATACATATTCATAATTTGTTCAGATTCTTGTTATTTTTATAACAAAATAATAATCTTCCCTTTAAGGTTAATTCTTACAAAACTCGTATATAAAAGTAATAAAAATGAACATTTAATTAACTTTTAATTGCAAGTCAAAAAGAAAAGCTAATAAGTGAAAGCTGCTTTTAACAAATTGGATCGCAGAAGTAGTTAAATGGCCTTTCAGTCTTTACTTAAAACTTCTATAATAATCTATCAACCTAAAAAGTAGACAAGTTTCCTTTTAACCAAGCTATATTTAAACCCTCTTTAATAATTAAATTAACCAGAAAAGACACCATCAATATATTTCCAAAGAAAATGCGAAAAGTTTCGTTTTAAGCAAAGAAACTAATCAGGTAAACACACGTAACTCTGTTAATCTTTGTCGCCTGATTTCCCTGGCTCTGGCATTGATTTAACTTTGCCCTTGTCCGGACGTTCACTTACTTTTGCCTGGCACTGTTTTTGGTAGCTTCACCTGAACCAATCAGCTTTATTGAATCGGAACGGTACTGTGTTTACTTAGTCAAAAAGCATTTGCACTGCATTTGACAGGCTTCATTTGATTCCATGCCTTCTAATGCCAAAAACAAGCTTAGTGAAGTTCACCAAGATTTCCACGAACTTGAGCCCCTGGCAAAACTTGCCGGGCTTAACAGTTTAACTCAATTTTGGAACTTCTCTGTCTGTCTGTCTCTGTCCTGGGGGTTCCATCGCAGGACACCACTTGTCTTGTACCAAATATCCTGCAGGCTAATGCCAAAAATCCTCAAGATGCTGCCACAAAACTGAAAACGTACACAAATCAACAACTAAAACATTGGGGCAGCTGCAGCTTTAAAGTGTGGGTAAATATCCACGCAGTTTTACACTGTAATAAAATTATTAAAAACTTTATTATATAAATTATAATTTATATAAAAATACATTTTAAAACTACGCTCTAGTGATATTTCAGTATGAAATATGGTAGTCTTTAACATACTTTAACTTATGTTATTAGATAAATATAAAAGTTCAATTTAGCTCTTTCCTAACTTCTCCAAATCTCTTGCTTTTATTATTAATGTTTACTTCTTTATTTCTTTTAAATTCTTTACTAATTTCTATTTAATTTTTTTCTCTGGAAACACTGTACCCATAGATATACCAATTGAGCAAAAAAACAATGTACCTTCTCTCCCTTGGCAACCTTAACAAATACAAATACACGTGCACTGTGGAGCGCTTTGAACTGGCGTTGACATTTCGTTTGTTCAATTATAAAACTTTAGCGTGGGCGTGCTAACACTCCCACTTTATCCCTCCCAACCTCAGCCTCTGCTCACTCCTATTTATATTTTTTGTTTTTTTTTTTGCTGTTCTGTTTTTATTGTTTAGCTATGGACTGTGTCTTTGTTCTAACCGGGGGCTTTTGTTGTGCTTTTGTTTTCGGGATCCCAGTTGTTATCCTGCCCGCTCATACTGCTCATACTGCGGCTGTCCTGGGCTGTTTCTGTTTGGCTTTCAATCAAAGTTTTTAAAAGCTTCGGCAACAGAACGAGTGGGGCATATGCCACAGCTCACCCGGCACCACCCACACCACCCACCGACCATCAGTTTTCACATTTTTCTGGCGGGGGAGAAGGCTCTCCTTTTTTGGGCAAACAACAAGAACACAAAAGCACCAACAAGTCGAAACCGTTTCCGTTTCCGCTCACAGAGTCCATATAAATCGAGATGGGAAAGTTCCTAGATAGCTCTAAGTTTAGAAGAATGGTTTAGATTAGATGGAATTGAAATTTCTTAATACAAACTCCCTTTATTTTCTATGATTTTTCAAAACCTTTAATGTTTTTTGTACAGTAAAAACTAAAGCAACTGAACCCTTGGGTCAGAGTGTTGACACTTCAGCTAGACATCCTTTTGTTGTCCCTTAATTTTATTGCGTTTTCTTTTATTATTATTTTTTTTCCTTTTTTTTTTGTATTTCTTTTGCCATCCAATGGCTGTCAGTGCATCAGCGGCTGGAACTTTTATTGAATTTCCGGTTGCGCTTCGCTGACTCGGCGCTGGTGTCCCCTTTGGGGAGCCTCTGACTGCCTTGTTGCTCCTGCGGTGGCTTGGGTTTATTACGAAATTCAGTTAGCCTCCGGCTACCAGAAGAGTCGCCGCCAAATGTCTGCGGCCGTAAATGAAATTTCCCATTTCCACCATTTCCCGTTCTTCCCCGCTTTTCCCACTTTTTCCTCGTTTGCAACCTCAAAACTGATGATTTTTGGTATTCTTTGTATGCGATTTGCAGCTTTGCCGGACCAAGGACCACCGAAAATCAGCGGTGGTCGTCCGCGTTACCAGATTGGGGACTATGTACGTATCAATTGCACCGCCGGTCGGTCGAAACCCGCCGTGGAGTTGAGTTGGAAGGTGAATGAGGAGCCAGTGGATCCGCAGACCCTGCGGAAGTACGACACCATCGTATCGGGACGGGATGGACTGGAGACCTCTGTTTTGGGTCTTCAGTTTCGGGTGGAACAGAGGCACTTTCGCAACGGCGACATGAAACTGAAGGTAAGTGCTTAAATAATTACTGAAAAACACTGTCGAACTTCTTTGGCTTTAATTAGCACTCTTAAAAAGTGATGAACAAAATTTAGAAAATTATGTATAACTAAACTTTTAATTTCCATTTTTATTTCGTTTTTATAAACCCAGTTTTGTAGATATATAATTTTATTTATTTATTTTATATATTCTTATATGAATTTATACTTTTATTAATGTGAGAAATGCAACGTTATTTATATTTCTCAAATTATACCCATGCAAGACATTATATTTTCAGTAAAAAGCCTAAAACGAACTGAAAGAGTCATTTCCGACCCCATAAATCATATATATTCTTGATCAGCATCAAAAACTGAATCGGTCTAGCCTTGTCCGACAGAAAAAAAAAATTGAAAAATTTGTTCAACATTTTATAAGCGTAAATTACATTGTTAACATTTTTAAAAATTGACAAATTTAAATTTGTTTAAATTTATAAACTAAGTATGCAGATTTTTTAACCTAATAAAACCTACCACAGAACAGTTTTCCGAATTGAAATTAATTATATTTTGGCTGAGTTATGATCAAATAATATTTACACCAGGGCGTATACGTAATTTTTTTTTGACAGCTTTGAAATCTATTTTTTGTACGTTTTTAGCCACAAGAATGTAATGATATGAAGGAGTCATTTCCGACCCTATATATCATATATATTCTTGATCAGCATTAACAGGCGAATCTATCTAGACATCTCCGGAAAAAATTTAATTTTTTTCAAAATTTGGAAAATCTTATAGGGATTACAATGTTAAAATTGGGACAAATTAGAATTTTTTTAAATTAAATTGGGTATGCAGATTTATTAACCACTTCAAAGCAAACATAGGATATTTTTCCGAATTAAAATGAATGCATTTTTTGCTTAGTTTTGGGTTTTTCAAACTTTGATTAGTCCAAAAAATAGTCATAAAAATAGTTATAAAAATATCATTAAATTTCTGAGCAAAGAATGTGAATATGTTAAGCTTAGTTATGATCGATTTCCAAATCGATCTTATAATTCGATAGCAAACTGCAAGGGTATATAAACTTTGGCTTACCAAAGTTAGTTTCCTTTTCTGTTTATAATTCATACAGTTACATAAATATAAAGAAAATCATTTATGTTTAAGATACTTTTTGTTTTATTATTTATAAGATAAATATAAACCTTTTGTATTATTTGTATTACTTTGTATATTTTTATTTCCTACAGATGTAAAAGACCCATGTTATATTTTCCATGACGCTAGAAACATTTATTTGCTGTTTTGTTTTGATTGACAATGAATAGGGATCGTTTTCATTTTTTTTTTTTCAACTTTTGTTATCACTTTGAGTCAGTAAAGTTCGATTGTGTGCCAATGGCATAGTTGTTTAGCTAGCTAACCCTCCCGAAATCTGTTGATTCCATTTGTAGTGTATCGCCTCGTTGTCAACGTTATACTGGCGGAGCAACGAGGAGTCCGTGGAGGGTGACCGCCCACAGAAGGCGCCGGTGCTCGAATCAAGGGAAACGGTCTATGCCAGCAACTCACGCGCCGATCCCGTCCAAGGTACGTCCTATCGGGAACTATTTGTGACCAAAATCTTATCGTTTTTGTTCGTCCATCCAAATGCAGCCAGCTCCGCGGCCCCGCCATTAGCGGTTCCGGCGCCCATTGTCCTGCTCCTGGTTCCGCTGGCGGTGGCGGTGGCAACCCTGGCGAGCAGAAAGGATATTAGCGAGCTATCGATAGATGGGAGGGCAGCCGGCGGTGGAGGAGGGTCGAGTGAGTTGCTGGATGGCCGGCAGGATGAGGATAAGGATGAGAAGATATCAAGGACGAGCAGTGCTGCCAAGCTCATGGAAAATCCGCGACGCTTCAGGGAAAAATCACAATGGCTGCACGGTAGCTGCATTAAGCCCACACGTGGCACTTTCCCTCCACAGTACACACACTTTTCACCGATTTTTCCGTCTTCGCTTTGCATACAAAAAACAAAGAACACACATCAAAACAAAACAGAAACAAACACACACTGGAAATCAAAAACAGGAAACTACAACAAAATACAAAAAAGAAAAGTATATATTATGCAGCTAATTTATTTATGCCGTTAACAAAAAGCTTTCATGAATTTAATTTGTAAAAAAAGAAGAAAACAAAGTGAGATCAGTAGAAAACAAAATGTTTAGAGTATAAATTATAATAATATGAAACTTAAATGTATTCGTACGCAAATGAAAAAGCGTGAAAATGCGAATCGAACGAAAGAACTGTAAATAGTTAATGTTTAATATAAATATATTTATGTAACTGTATGTTATTAAATTTTAAGCTAAACTGTCTGTCACACACATGCAAAACAGAGTGAATATCACAAAAATGAATGGTTAAGGAACTGATTTCAAATCCTTCAACAAATGTCGTTCAAGGCAAAATAACGAGTTTAACAAAACAAAAACATAAATACAAATAATGATATAGGAGTAAATATGCAAAGTTGAATAATGAAATTCAAGTAAAACACTTGGACGAGAGGTGTACAGTCCGTAACGAAAGTGTAACTAATGTAGAAATTAATTATTCATATATATGTGTCTCAAATTAAGCCGAAATTTAAATCGATGGTAAAAGCGGATATATATAGGTGTAGTTATAATTTCGTTACCTACTGTACAATCGTGTCACAAGTTCACCCAAAATACTACAAAAAAAGTCGTTTTCCAAATGGTTGATTTCATTTTTCTTTGAGCTCGCATTAAATAATGTAAGATTTGTAATAATTTAAACTAGAATAATGCTTAAAAATCACATGACAGAAACAAAAATAAACCAAAAACGCACTTAATTTTAAATTTAAAGAAGAAAATATGAAAAGAACTAATCAAAGTTAGAAATTACAACTCGGTGACTGTTGGAAAAAGTCTTAAAACTAACAAAAACATATCGTACATTTATATGAATTGCCAAAGTCTTAATGGGTATTAACTAAAAAAAAGCGAATGAGTGAGAGCGTGTCTCTGTGTGTGTGCGTGTGTGTTTGATTCTCCCCAAAATAATAAACTAATAACATTCCGGATTCAACTTCGCCATCATCCACAGAAAACGTAAACAATTTAGTTAGCCAAATGTTAGAAAACAATAGCGAAAGGTCAAAAGAGCAATTCGATGTAATGAAACAACAAACAAATTTTTAACAATAGCAAAATGATTGTGATGAAGCCTTAATAACGAAGCGGAAATCAATTCACAAATTGAACGAATTGAAATGAAATCAAATGGAATGAAATTAATTTTATTGTGTAAATAGAAGAACGCTTTGTCCTTTGAATTTCTCCCTCCCCCTTGATGTCTCTATAAATTCTGTGTGTAAATAATATTATGAGCTAACTAAATTAATGTTAAGATTGTGTCAGCAGCAGAACAACAAAATCACTGAAATGAATATAAAACAAAACAAAGAAAAACTATGCAAAAAAACGAGAGCCAATTTTAACTATAAGTGCAAAAACAAAAAGGATAAAATATATAAATTATACATTTAAATATCGATGAGTGGACATTCAAATGCTAATTGAGTGCAATCGAATGTGTGACTGTGTGAATGTGAATGCAATTTTTAGCATAGATTAATACATTAAACACACACACACTCATACATAAAACACATATATAAATCTGCATTGTTGTCAACTGTAACTGTTTTTTAAGTCTTATTTAATATCGATGCCATTAACTGCAATTAACGTGAAAATTACTAAGAACGTAAAACTTAAAAATAAATGCAACAGAACTAAAAACATAACAAAAAAACCAGAACTATGCATAAAAGTTAATTCGAAAAACAAAACATAAATGTGTGGTAATTGTAAGTGTAAATTATTTGTGTATTTAAATAACAAACTTTTAGGTGTATAAAAAGAAAGAAAAGCCAAGAGAAAACCGTAAAAAAACAAGAGCGAATTAAAACCAAGAATGCATTCGAATCTATACGATAAACTCTATGTGAAACCTTAAAAGCTGCATCGTAGGCGATTAAGAATTATTTACAAAAAACTCAACTCAAATCAAATGCCATAAAGTAACTTCAACTGAATTTAACTGCCAGCCGTTGGGTCAGACGAAGGGGAGAACTCTCTGTAAATATCTTTAAGCATCATTCTATGTGCGATCCTCATTCGCAGATGATCTGAAACAGAAACAAAACGAATTGTGAAGTAAACGAGTGGAAAATTCATTAATAAAACATATTTGTTTCAAAATCCAATCTATCTAATTATTTCTCTTAAATTCTATTAAATTCATCTTCAATTAGATTGCAAAAGCCAGGCCCCAAGTTAGCCTGTCCAGCTGCAAAAAAGATACTTTTCCGTGTGTATTTCTTTCTTTTTTTTATATTTTTTTTTTAGCTAGATGCAACGCCAAAGAAAATTGGGTAATTTTAAGAAAATATTTCAAATACGTGAAAATGTTCTCGGCGAACGTGACAACAACCTTGGCGACAAATAAAAGAAATAATCGGGACTGAGAGACTGGGGCAGCACCCGAAACATTTAGCAGTAAAAAAGGAAGCATTTACCCAAAAAAAAGGAAATTCCAAATATAAGAAGAAGGATAGCAATGCAGGAGGTTCTATGCGTACATGAAATTTATATAAAAAGGTGTGAAAATGCACATTAAATTGTTTTTTTTTTTCTATTTATAGGATGTGAAATTAGTAGAAGAAAAGTCAGATAAAGAAGAGACATAATATAAGTCTTTAAGTAAGATAATACTTCCAAAACATACTCTTTAAAAATACTTAATTAACCATAATAATATATAAAAGGTATTATGACTAGTTTCTATTCCATATTGGAAGCCGTAGCTATATTTTTTTCCTTCCCAAAACTAAGACAAAAGCCACACATCCACAAAAAGCCCGAAAATAAATAGAAAATATCTGTGGGCTTATCCCTAAGTCGCACCTTAGTCGCAAAGGACCTCGGCTGGACGTCGCTAATAAGCTGCCAGCAAAATAAGAACATTTGATAAATACCAAGGACAAAGCCAAACAAATTATAACAAGGATACAAGGATGCCAGGCGATGACTCCACAGATTTATTAGCTAGCCGACAAATGGGCCACAAATGAGCAGACAGCAGAGCAGTTTTCCCACCTGCGCTATCTGGGGCCATCAAATGTCACATAAATCAGATTTTGCCATCTAATGAAAACAACAGCAAGATTTACCGGGAAATTTTTCGTGTGAGAGCTAATAGAGGAGCTAATTCCAGCGTTTTGGTTGCCATAATTCCATTCCAGCTTCACTTAATCTGTAGTTCGGGATGTCATCGCCTGGTATCTGTATCTGAGAGATACTTTCGGCATATTAAGCTCAATTGTCTGGGGCTTAAAAGTTTCATGTTTGATTTCGCACAGATAAGACGGCATCAATTTGCTGCACAGGTAAACTTTTTGATTGCCTCCCCCGCCCCGCACACCTGGTGTGGCAGGTGCCATTTTCCCCTCCTCCCGCCCCCCTGGCCAATGTCACATTAAGCTGCTGCTCATCCAAATTTTGTGGGGCGGTCGGAAAGTTACTGAAGTGGGCAGGGAAAAGCTGTTAAAAACTGATGGCGATATGCCCGAAAGTTTAATTGAGCTCGTTCAATCGGAAGGAATATGCATTTTGATGTGTGTGAGTGTGTTTAGCTTGAGATACATTTTGTTTTTGGTCAGGAAAGCACTTGGTTGAAAAGGAAAGGGTGTCCTTCAAGGTGAATGAAGTGATTAGCATAAAGAAGATATGAATTTATACCTGAGACAAGACCATAAATATATTAAAGGTCTGCCTGCGTAGATCCCAGAGATCTAATTGATTATTATTCATATGAAATAAAGAAACACTCCTTCAAAAGCAAATTCCATTTCAAGTTGCCACCTTAAATTATCAGCAATCTTTTCCATAGCTCTGCACTTTGTTTATCCATTAGCCGAGTCGTTCAAATTATTGGAGACAGACCAGACAGTTGGATGATTGCACCTTGAATCGATTTCCCTACGACTAGGGGGAAATGGGGGAAAAGTCCTGGGAGTAGACTCGTATGTAGAGCTGGCTTTCCCTTCACACAATGTCATGTTGCCCCGGCTGTCATTCTTTTGTTGCCACTCGTTTGTTGCCACCATTGTCGTCTTGTTTTTTTTTTTGTGTGTCGTTGTTGTTATCATTTGCAGCATTTGAAATGATTTGCAATAAAAGTGTCTGCCACTGTCCATTGGCCACGCCCCATTGGCAGATTACGTGCCACTTCAGATCCTGTCCATCCTAGCCTTGGGATTGCTTATCCTGGCCATGTTGCACAAGTTGGCATTGTCCTTGCCGCTGTCACGTAATTGCCTTTTGTTTACTCTGGTTTCTCTTCTCACAGCCATTGCCTTTTTTACGCATTTTTCAGGTGCGTAACGTATGAAAGAGGCAATCCCAATAGAAGCCCTCTTCTTTAAATTCTATATCCTGTATATAGTAAATAAATTAAAATATGAAAATATGGTTAAATTTGTGATTTCTTATGAGAATAAACATAATAATTAATAAGGGTTATCTAAATATAAAAATATTTAATGGGAAATCCCAATTTAAAGTCCAACAATTTCCTTTAAGCTTCCTTAAAGTCCTGTGAAACCCCAGCGCCTTAGAAATCCGCTCCTGGTGGTACGGAAAAATCCAGAGAGACTAAGCACAAACAAAACATAGAATGTCGGCAGCTACAATCATATTTCTTGCATTGCAATAAAAATGCGTGGCAGCGTAACAAAATTACTCATAAAAATAAATAAAAACTTGCCGCCTTCCTGTTGGGTTTGGGCCTGCAATTTCTGGCACATCATTTGGACCGTAAATTATATGGATTCTGGATGGAATTTCTATACTTCTACCAAATGCAGGACATACAATATAGATGGTGCCAGGCTAGTCCCATTAAAAGGCCTTTTGTTCGGGGGCAAATGGAGATGATTTCGTGCCATTGCAGTTACGTGTTTTGTGAAAATATCAACATAGAATTGCACACATTTTAGTATTCAATTGCAGCTGGATGGGTTTAAATTTATTTGAGAGAGAGAGAGAGAAATTTAATATAAATTTTAACTAAGATTATTAGTAAAACAACTAACTACAATTACTAAATTTACTCTTCTGTACATTTGATACTTTCTTAAGTACTTGAATTCCTTTCTTAAAGCACTTTCTCTATACATTTCAAGCTCTTTTAAAGCCTTCAATACCTGAATATCGAATACTTTACCAATAGACCCAAAGGTAGGTAGGTAGGTTGCAGTGGTGAGGCCCAAGGCTGGGGCCTCCAATTAGAGCTTAGCTCCTTTTTGATCCACACCCTCTGTTTCTTTTTTGTTGTAATACACTATCAGTACCATCCAGAGTCAGCAAGGAACCTAGGATTGCCGAAACTTTCAGCTTTCCTATGTTTCTCAGTGACTCCATCTGGTAGGCACCGAAGTGGCGAAATCTGATGTGGTTTAGCGCTGGGCAGAAGCATAGCAGATGTTCCGGTGTCTCTTGCTCTGTAGGTTGCTTACAGCTTCTACAGATTGCGTTGTATGGCAGTCCCAGCTTCATTGCGTGCGAACCGATCGCCCAATGTCCCGTGGTGAGTGCCGTGAACCTACTGATATCCCGCTTGCTGTTGGATAGCAGTTCCCTGGTTCGTTTTTCGTCGTACCTCGGCCAGCATTCCCTTGACCTTCTGTGATCACTCTTGCTTTGCCATTCTTTATTGGCTATCTGCCTAAAGTGGTCATGGATCCTCGTCTGGATCGCGTTTAGGGAGATCGGTAATTCGAAGTCAGAACTTAGCCCTGCCGAGCCTGCACGGGCTAGTTCGTCCGCCTTCTCATTTCCTGGGATCTCGTTGTGTCCCGGTACCCAAGTTACTTGTACCTTATTTTTGTCGGCAAGTCTATTAAGGGCCTTCTTGCATTCTGCCACAAGTCGTGAATTCGTTTTCACGGCAGATAGGGATTTTATAGCCGCTTGGCTATCCGAGTAGATTCGAACTCTATTGCCCCTGAGGTCCTGCCTTAAGGAAAGTTCGACTGCTTCCCTTATGGCTAGTAACTCAGCCTGAAAGATCGTCGCTGAGTTAGAGAGATTGAAGGCCTGTTCAATTCTCCAATTTTCAGCGAAGATCCCAGCCCCTACGCCGCAGCTCATTTTTGAGCCATCGGTGTAGAGGGACACCTCGTTCTCCTCTACCACTCTGCCCCTACTCCAGTCTTCCCTTGATGGGTATGATGTCGAGAATGCATTCCCGAATTTCATTTCCGCGATCATGTAGTCGGTCTTAACGTCTGTGTTAATGCCACTGTTTGCAAGGATCTTGCCGTGCCCGGCGCCGTAGTCCCTCCAGCAATTGCTCGCCTTCAGTCTTACTGCGCTCTGTGCCGCAGTGTCCTTCACGAACAGCTCTATCGGCATTATATGCAGGATGGCGTTGAGAGCAGCCGCGGGGCATGAGCGCATTGCACCCACTGCCCCCGCACTCGCTGCCCGTTGCATCCGTGTCAGCTTCGTTCTGTTGTAAGCCCTAGTTAGTGCCGGCCACCATACTAGGGCTCCGTATGTAAGAATTGGTCTTACCACTGCAGTGTAGAGCCATAAAATTATCTTTGGGTGCAGTCCCCATTTGTTTCCAAACATTTTCCTGCAGGAGTAGAATGCGATGCTTGCTTTCCTTACTCTTTCTGCAGTGTTATCTTTCCATAAGAGCTTTTTATCCAGGATAACTCCTAGATACTTCGCTCGCTCCGATAGTTTCAGCTCCATGCCATTAATACTGGGCATGTTGAAGGGTGGTATCTTAGTTCTTCGCGTGAAGAGCATAAGTTCCGTTTTAGTGGGGTTGATACCTAGTCCGCAGGTTTTTGCCCATTTGTTTAGTCGACCTAGCGCACCCGTCATTATTTCGCTAATAACGTCAGGGTATGGTCCTGAAACGAGCAGTACTACGTCGTCCGCGTAGGCAACTGCTTTGACTCCACCCGTATTGAGGTCTGTCAATATGGCGTTCATATTTGTGAGCCAGAGTAGGGGCGATAGTACCCCGCCCTGAGGTGTGCCTCTCTTCACAGTCCGTGTGAGGTGAGTGCCACTCAGTTCGGCTGTGATCGTCCTGCTCTTTAGCATGACTCCGATCCACTCTCTGATGCCTCTCTCAATACCTAGCAAGTTGAGGGAGTCCAGGATAGAGTCGGGGTTCACGTTATTGAACGCGCCTTCTATGTCTAGGAAGGCTGCCATCGTATATTGTTTGTGTTGTAATGTCTTCTCGACATGATGTACAACTACGTGTAGCGCTGTTTCCGTTGATTTTCCTCTGCGGTACGCATGCTGCGCGTCCGAGAGTTGATGTCCTTCTAGAGATTCTCGGATGTGGACGTCCAGCAGTCTCTCTAGTGTCTTCAGGGCGAAGGAGGTGAGACTTATCGGTCTATAATCCTTTGCTAGGATATGCCCCCTTCTGCCCGGTTTGGGTATGAAAATGACTTTAGCCTCTCTCCACAACAGTGGGATGTGCGTCAGTCTTAAACATGCTTCGTAAATGGCTTTTAGCCATTTGCAGATGCTATCCTTGGCTGATTGTAGCATTGCCGGTATTAAGCCGTCTGGGCCCGGGCTTTTAAATTTATCGAAAGAATCTATTGCCCACTGAATTCGCTCCGTGGTAATGATGTCTTTCGTAGGTGTATCCATTTGAGAGTTCGTTCCCCCCTCGGGTTCCGAGATCACTCTTAGGTTTCCTGGGAAGTGGGTGTCAACTAGTAGCTCCCAAAAGTAGGCAAAACACATGAAATCAGTTGCTTGGCGAATCCTTTCTCCCAATTTACATTTTATCGAGCTGCTGTTCGGCTCATTATGTTGGCCATTTTTATTGGCTTCCAAAGATTTGCAGCTTGGACCCAACTCTCAGAAACAAGTGACCCCCATCTCGTGCTGATTTCATCAGAAAATACATTTCGTTACCTGGAATTTTGTTTTTTTTTATGGTCCTCGGCCATGTGTTGTGGCAATTTTCATATATCTAAACAAAGGGAAAGTTTCCTCAGCTCTCCGCTTATCTGGCCACAAAATGGGTTTGATTTTTCTTCTCTTCTTTTACGATTCCCCAACTCCCGCATTGAATCCTTTTTCCCTGCGATTTACTTTCGCTTAAAATAACAATTTCAAATTGGTTTTACTGCCCCAAGGACGGGATTTTCTCCTCCAGCCTTTTGCCGCCTTTGTGTGTGTTTATGTCGCCTCGCATTTTGATCGCTTTGCATAAGCGCCTTTCAGCAATTTGCTTTGCCTCTGACCATTTGCTATATGCGGCTTAAAGTGCCATGCCAACCGGCCTTCACTCGAGTCAAGTGCATTAGATTTGTCGGAAAAGCTGCACTCGAAGGAGGGAGGGAGGGAGGGGGAATAATGGCGGAAGGGTGCCACTATTCCATTCTGAAAAACAAACTTTTCCCCCAGCAGACAATAATTGAAAATGCTGCCAGTGCAGCGAGTGTGTGTGCTAACTTTGTCTGCTGGCATTAAATTTATGTTAATTGAAATTTATGTGCGATGACCGCACCAGCTCAAGCTCAAAAAAGGAAACTGTTTTTTGTTTTTGGAGAAAATGGAAATGGCCAATGAAAAATAGTGGAAAACTTTTCATGACACTCGCATCAAGGCAAATAATAGAATTTCCGCCCCTTTCTCATTACACAACTGAATTATAATTTAAATCGAAATATACAAATCAAAATCAAATTAAATTCGCTCTGTTTTTGCCAAAAGACCAATAAAATTCGGGTCGTTGTAACAAATTAAATATGCAATTTCAATGTTCGACAGAGAAAATTAAATTTTTGGCAACATTTTGAGCAAAAGAGAGTATCAAATTTATTTGTAAAGTAATTATATTTATTTGAGTGTAGGGGAAATATTTTTGGCAACGTTAAACATATTTTGAGAGTTTATAAATGTGCTTACTTAATGTTTATACAAATTTATTCCATTAGCAATACCATATTGCACAGTGCTCAAAGCATTCAATAAAGTACAAAAGAAAAATTCCAGGACAAAAGGACAGCCGCATACTTGATGTATGCTCATTATTTGATTCCTTATGGGTTGAGCTCTTAATTGTAGATCAAAGCAAGTTTGCTGCATTTATACAAAAGTATATATATTAAAATTCCAAATTAAATCAATTTTACCTACCTCTCCATTTAAGTCCTCCCCTGTTCGCATTTCTTGACCTCCTGAATACCTCAAATCAATAATCAAGAGCTGCAAACTCAAGTATCTCTGCATCTGATCCAAGCGATCGTTGCACAAACCGATGATCAGGATCCTCAGCAAAGGTGCCACACTACCGCCAAGGTGTTCCCTGAGAAAATCATGCCACTTTTCCACTGCATCCATTCGATCAATAAACAGAATGCAATAAATAACAGTGGCCCAATGAGCCACCAGGACCACAATGTTGGAAAAGAGCATGGTGGCCACTGGAAGCCACAACACCATTATATTCTGATGACCATTGCTGATCCTTGAGTAAAGTCGGAAAAGCTGTTTAAGCTGATGCTTTTGCTCCCGAGATGGCATTCCCTCTTTGTGATAGGCCTAAAAAAGGTTTAATTTAAATTCAAAGTTAAAATTTCATTTAGTAATTAATAGCTCACCTCCAGAAATCGATTGAATGTTGCCATCCAAGATAAAAGTATCAATTGATAGACAACATACATATTATAAAACACAGACAGCAACAGCAAAAGAGCACAAAAATAAAAATCTTATCGCAGAGATAGTCAACGATCTGCAGAATTGTCAGTTTCAATTGCACTACAAATATGATAAAGAGGACAGTTCCCTCCAATAAGAGAGGTCCCAAGGTGTCCTCAATTAAGGACATCAAGTGAATCACCTCATTGACCACAAGTACAAAGGACCTGTTCCAGGACACTCTACTCAAGCAGTAATATAATCGCCCAATGTTCCAAAAAGCTATCTGGAAAACTAAAGACTCCACCAGGTCTTTGAATGTGCGTGAAGGATGATAGGTGCCATAAGCCATGGAAAACAATGGAAAACTTGCAAACAATAAATAATGAAAGCCAAAGTTATCCGCAGACAAGGCAGCTAGCTTTAGAAGCAAAGTAATCCTCTTAGTCCACATATTGCGAGGTTGAAGGATCATCTTTCCTCTATGGGGATCGTACTTTATTTGTCCCACAACGAAACTGCGATAAAGGATATAGGTAGTCCAGCCAATGCCACAGATAGACCATCTCAGCAAACGGGAACTCCACTTGCCACACGAATGTCTACGAGTTGACCCATACTTCTCTTCTGGCATTCTCAAACCCACTAAAATCGACTGTATGTGGTTTTTCCGGAGTAAGGGGTGGAAAAATTGAGGAAATGGAAAACTAATTGTTATGTGTTATTGGTTATGTGGCATTATCAGCAACATTATTACAAATTATGTATTGAAATGCTAGGAGAAAATTAACTTAGGTCGAACATAAATGCTTATAGCCTTTCATTTATAATTTATCATTATAATAGTCAGAAACTCTACATGTTTTATGTATAAGTGTTTTGTGTTTTGGTCTTTTAGTAATGTTTATACTTTGGGAAAGACAAGATCGAACTGCAATATACAATAGTACACAAGCTAGGCTTTATTGTTCTCTTCTTTTGTTACTAAAAATATTACAAAACTAATTAAAAAAATAAATAAATAATCGATATATTTATATCGATATATAATCGATAATAATTCCTTTTCTTTTTTATACCCGGAAAAACCGTCTTAAAGTTACAGCACCTTCGGAGTAGGTAAATCTAAATACTCAAACTATTTACCATTTTGAAAGTTAAGGCTTGTTCCATTTGAAAATCCATATTGAACATAACTTAAAGCATTCACCAGTGTACAGAAAACAAATTCCAAAACGAAAGAGCTATCACATATCTGATGTTTACACATTATTGGATTTCTAATAGGTTGACTTCTTAGCTGTAGATCGAAACAAGTTTGCTAAACGGAAAATAAGTCAAAAAATGTGTCATTAAATCAGATTTTGCTAAGTATTTACCAGCTTTCTAAGCTCCTTGGTGAAACTCTGCGATCTCTCCTCGCTGTCCAAGTGCCTTAAATCGATGAATAGGAGCTGCAAGTTTACGTATCTATCCAACTGAGCCAATCGATCGTTAAACAATCCAATGAGAAGAATCCTTAACAGGGGAGCTAATCCACCTCCCAAGTGCCACTGAAGAACCCATTTCCACTTTCCAATCGTATCCAAATCGTGATTAAATAAGGCAATATAGATGATGGCAGCCCAATGGCCAACCATTGTTACCACACTGGAGATGAGCACACTGGCCACTGGCAGCCAAAGGATAACTATGTCTTGATGCCCATTATTAATCCTTGAATACAAGTGAAGTAGCTTATGGATTTTCTGACGTTGCTCCAGGATAGATAAGCCCATCATACGATAGTTCTGATAAAAGAAAGATACTGAAACGAATGGTTTCTTGATACCTTAAATACTCACCTCAAGGAAGTTGTTAAAGGCGGCAATCCAGCATAGCACCAAAAAAAGGTAAGCTATATAGGCATTATAAAACAATTCCAGTAAAATAATACTGATCACAAATAACTGAATTCCCCCGCAAATATAATTGATCAACTCTAACAAAGTCAACTTGAATTGAATCACATAGAAAATTATCAAAACATATTCTTCCAAGGAAACGGGTCCCAAACTACCCTCAACTAATGAAGCCAAATGAATAACTTTATTCACCAAACGCACAAAGCTACGATTCCAGGATAGGTTACGTAGCCAGGAATATAAACGATATATATTCCAAATTGTTATATAAATGGAAACAGCTTCCAATAAGACTTCCAAAAATCGCTTTTCCCTGTCTTGATCTAGACCATCATGAAAAAATGGATATGCTGCTGCTACTAGGTAATTTATACCCAAGTAATATGTGATAAAAATAACTATTTTGAGGAAAAGAGCAATTCGTAAAGTAAATATATTCCGAGGTTTAATAATCATCAGTCCACTTTTCCGATCATATTTCATTTGTCCAACAACGATGCTGCGATAAAGGATATATGTGGACCAGCAGATGGATAATAGAAACCATCGCAGGAGTCGAGATTGTCCTTTGCTGTACAATGTGCCACCAAATTTCATGTTTCTCTTTCGACCGTCGGACTCTTACTTAAACTAAAACATACATTAATTTGTAATTAGGAAATTAAGTATTATGTTAGAGCCTTAATTATGGGTAATTATTTTTAATTAGTATGCACATTAACTATATAACACAGGAACACAATATTCCAAGAGCAGAGTTAGGCCTTTATATTTAGCTCAGAGCTGTAAAAACTTTTGGAAATGACAGTCAGTTATTATATTATTTAGGTGGATAAATTGCATAAGAACACATTGATTATTTTCCAAAAATAAAGTCCTTTTCATTATTTTCTTTCTATAAACCAATTCACATTTTTTAAACAAACATTTCACATTAAAAGAATTGAATATCATATTGAATAAGAACTATTGAGTGGGTTATAAAAGATCCAAACATTGCTGAGGTCGAATCCCGATTAATACTGAATATTTGCATCACCTCAATTTTGAGAGGATTCCTCAATAGCTGCAGTTGAAGGCTTTCAAACTAAATTCAAAAATTTAATTTTAATTTAATTTAATTAATTTAAAAGTCAACTTACAGACTCCTCCAGGCGAACATCCAGACCCGAAGCGAATATAGTTCTCCGCTCCAATAGACGAATCATTTCCTTGTGATCATCTTGGACATATAGCATAATGAAGAGATTAAGGATGGCATCCCAGTAATAAAAGAAGCACCAGGCAAACATCAGGACTGTAGTTGTATAGTTCAATGCAAATTTCTCGGGGCCATGTTTAAAGATACTATATGTGAGGTAACTTGTAGTCACCGAAGATATATAGTATCCTCCATAAACCATTAACCCTTGAATGCCGAAAACGTCTCCCAATTTGGTAACAATATCCTGCAACTGGCTTTGGATCTTAGCTATATCCTCAAGCCTATCGGCCAGATGGCAACATCTGGTCATAAAGGCTCCTTTCCTTGGTGGATGATAGCTCAAGTCTATGCTCTCATCGATCACCTCTTTGAGTTCCATATTAAGGAGTTGATACTGTGCCCTTACGAAGAGCATCACGAGATAATGCTGCGATATGGCCAGATTAAGGATACCCGACATCCAGAATTGCAAACCCATTCCCAGGAAGAAGGTAGAATCACCACGTCCAATGGCATCGAAAGTGATTGCCATTTGAATTATATCGGTGACACCGGCAGTAAGAAATTTGATGAGAATCCCCCAACGGGACATCCTTTTCACCTGCGGCCTGGCCAAAAAGAGACGTAGAATTTTTCCAGCCAAGTATTTCATCTGGCAGCGCTGACGCCATCGGTTCAATACTGTTGTAAGACCTTTCACAATTTATAATTATAATTAATGATTAGTACTTGTCCTATTGCATATATTACTAACTGATTTCCAAGATATATAATAATATATTCAAAGAATAAATATTAATATCTTTACAAATCTTCAATGCGAGTTCTTTAATTAAGATTTCTTGAATTATTAGGTCCTTAAAAGTTAACTTATCTTACCTCCAATGAGTCTCAACGAAGTCATAGTTATAATAACCAACTCGTGCAGTCTGTTTGAGTTTCCAAAGATCACATTTAAATTAATATCCCTGGTAATAAGGATACCCAGAAGAATCACTATAATGACATTTGCCACAACTGCATAGAGAGTACTTCTGGCAGCTGTGAAAACACGACCAGTTCTCCAATTGAACTCAAAGTTACTGAGACCAATTAAATGGCCATAAAAGTAGACAGCCTTCAGCAATAAACCAGCCCAGTCAAGCATTTTGGAGAACTAAACAAAAAATTCGCCTTGCTTTTCTCTCTGGTTATATTAATCGATTTATGACTTGCACTGATCTCAAACAAAGGTTCTTGATAAGATATAAGATTATAAATGAATAAAACATGTTTAGGCCAGAACATATATATTATAGGTACTCATCAAATTCAATTACTTTAACCCTTTCTTAAGAAATAAAACATTTATTTAATTAATATTCAAAGTTTTCCATATCATATTGAATTAAAATTATAGAATGTGTTACAAGAGATCCAAACAAGACCAAGGTTCCGCTTCGTGTTACAGTAAACAATTTCATTATTTCCATTTTTAAAGGATTCCTTATAAATTGCAGCTGTAGGCTTTCAAACTAAAAAAAATATATAAAATTTTAGCTATAGCTTTCTTTATTTAATTTAAGTCAATAAAAACTTACAGACTGCTCTAGGCGTACATCCAAACCAGAGGCGAATAAAGTTCGTTCCTCCAACAAACGAATCATTTTCCTGTGCCCATCCTGAACACTTAAAGTTGTGAAAAAATTATAGATGGCATCCAGGTAGTAAAAGATGCACCATATTAAGGCCAAGGTAATCGATTTCAAGGTCATTCCCAGCTCAGTATAACCATATTTAAAGGCACTGTAGGTCAGGTAAGTTGTGGCCACAAAAGATAAATAATAGCCGACATAAACGATCAATCCCTGAATATCAAAGACTTCATACAAATGCTTCAGAATTAACTGGAGCTCATCCTGAACCCTGGCTATATCCTCCACTTGATCCGCCAGGTAACAACATCTGGTCATAAAGGCTCCCCTTCGTTTTTGATAATAGCTCAAGTCCTTGGATTCCTCGATCACTTCTCGCAACTCAATATTAAGCAACTGATAATCCGCTCTAACAAATAGTGTCACTAGAAAATGCTGAGCTATTGCCAGATTGAGAATACTGGACATCCAAAACTGCAATGCCATGCCCAGGAATAAAGTGGAATCCACACGGCCAATAGCTTCCAAGAAGATTGCCATTTGAAAGGAGTCGGTCAGAGAAGCGACCAGGAACTTGCCAAGGATCCTCCAACGAGAATTCCATATCCCCTGCGGTCTGCTCAGGAAAAGTGGGATAAACATTCTGGTTATTTTCATTAGTTTACGCCGTTGCCGCCATCTATTAAGCAATGTGAGGAGTCCTGAAAAAAATTAAATACAAGTATTAACTTAAAACTTTATAAGCATTAATCAATATGATAAAATGTAAATGAGTGGCTTAAAATTCGGAGAGTTAAAATATAAAAGCCGATATTTTTGGTTCAAAATATATCTTATATATTCCTTTTCCTCCTCTTCTTATCCTCTTTTTAATTAAACTAAACTTAACTTAAACAAACCTGCAGCAATCCTTAGTACAGTCAAAACTATAACAACATATTCGTGCAGTTGGTTGACACTTGCAAAAATCGAGCTCTTCCAGTAAACTGGAAACACATTAGTATCACAATACATATGTTAACGGTGGCGGTATATAGCGTAGTCAAAGTTGATGTATATACGCGACCTGAACTCCAATCAATCTCGAAATTGCTAACTCCAATTAATTTGCTATAAAAGTAGACGGTCCTCAGCAACAAACCGACCCAGTCAACCATTTCGAAGAACTAAGGTAATTACCTTCGAAGAAGGTAAGGTAATTATTCCAAATCGATGAATTTCATAGGCTTAATTCATTTGCTTCCAACAATAAGATCTTGATAAGATACATATGTAGATTGATAAGGAAAAAACAAGTTGGAGTTGTGTGTGTTACACTTTAAGATATCCTTTACCTATCAAATAATATGAATTAATATGTATTAAATTGTATTGTATTAAATTAAGATGATTATAAGTAAAATTTGCTGAGATTACTTCCAAAATTAAAGTATAGGGAAGTTGATTTGAGCCTGAATTCAAATTAAGTGAGAATATAATTATAAGCTTGCAGGGTATTTAAATTTTAGTCAGCAGTTTGCATTGTAGTAAAGAAGTCATCTATAATATATATATATATTCCTGATCAACATCAAAGTCAGGGTCAGTTCAGAAACTATAGTTGGGTTAAGAAGTCAATATTCGCGAATAATTTTTATTTAAGTTAGGCTCTCTCTTATACAAATTGCTGGATCACTTTAAATTATAATTAAGTAATGCGATCAATTTAAATAAGTTAATTAATTGAAAAAGAAAGATATAAATAGCTGATTCTAGATCTACATAGGCCTGATCCCTCTTATAGCATCTATATATGAAAATAATAATATTGTCATGATTAAGACTTACCGCAGTCGTCATTGCTGAATTCCTTCGAGTGTAGAGTTATATTCTTGGTGACTTCAATTAGGCTCCTCATGGCTTCGATGACGTAGTGAGCTTCTTCAGGTGATATTTTCTGGGTCGAAGGGCAATCACTATCACTACGCACTATCACTATAGATGTAAACAGTGGGGAGGCCACGGACAGACTGAAGCCGGTGCGGCTGAAGCGGCTCTATTTATACTCTTCCAGTAAAGAGAATAGAGAAAGTGAGAGCGAGAGTGAAAGGGATAACTTCAGGAAACGCAGAGAGATAGAGAGAAAGCGATACCTCTAGAGCTACACAGAGAGAGAGAGAGAGATGCATACAGACAAACACAATTAAGTAACTATGTTCACTAAGTATCAATTAACATTAAGTAACTATGAACAATTATTAACACTGAACAGTAAGTATCTCTGACCAGTAAGTATCCATGACCAGAAACTAACTATAATCAGTAAGTAAATTTGATCAGTAAGTATCTATGATCAGTAAGTATCTATGACCAGTAATTAGCTATGAGCTGTAATTAGCTATGACCATTAAGTAACTCTGAACAGCAAGTATCAAAGGATATTATGTAACTCTGAACAGTAAGTATATATAATCATTAAGTATCTATGACCAGTAATTATCTATGACCACTGAGTATGTATGATTAGTTACTCACTATGAACACTAATAAACAATGACTTGCAACTTTTGTAACACAACACATTTCTGAGACTTGGCCGGCAGCAGTCACTTCGTTCCGGGGATGTTAGAACCAGTTGGGAATCATATGATATGATGATTAACTTTGAACAGTAAGTATCTATGACCAGTAAGTAACTCTGAACAGTAAGTATCTATGACAAGTAAGTACCAATGATCAGTAAGTATCAATAAACATTAAGTAACTCTGATCAGTAAGTAACCCTGAACTGTAAGTATCTATGAGCAGGAACAAACTCTCAACAGTAAGTATCTATATCCAGTGAGTACATATTATGAGCAGTTAATAACTTTGAACACTAATAAACAATGACTTGCAACTTTTGTAACACAACACATTTCTGATACTTGGCCGGCAGCAGTCACTTCGTTCCGGGGATGTTTGAACCGGTTGGGAATCATATGTACAGGTGTACGAGATTTATTTTGGAACAAATTTAAGAGCAAGTTATTTGAATGAAACTATGCAGTTGATCTCCTATATACTTTTCCAAGTTTATAAATCGGAGCATGCCAAATCTGTGGACTATATATATACATATATATAGCTGACATAGGAACAATAGGACAATTTTATTGGACTATGATCAGTAATTAGCTATGACCAGTAATTAACTATAAGCAGGAAGTAACTATGAGCAGTGAGTAACCCTGAACAATGAGTATCTATGACCACTAAGAAACTATGATCACTAAGTATCTATGACCAGTAAGTATGTATGAGCAGTTACTAATTTTGAACAGTAATAAACAATGACTTGCAACTTTTGTAACACAACACATTTCTGATACTCGGCCGGCAGAAGTCACTTCGTTCCGGGGATGTTAGAACGAGTTGGGAATCATATGCACAGATGTGCGAGATTTGTTTTGGAACAAATTTAAGCTAATTTAATGAAACTATTGAGTTATTCGTCTATTTAATTTTACTAGTATATAAGTCGGAGCATGGCAATCGGTGGACTATATATACATATATATAGCTGCCATAGAAACGATCAAAAAATTGGAAGAAAAAATATTATACCCTCTCCAGTTTTTAACAATTTTCATAAAATTTGTATATAGCCATTATATATTAATGTAGAATGTTTTGTAAAATTTGTTTAAAAACGGGTAACTATATAATAATATAAATTGAATTAATTATTAATGAGCCAATTATAATATGCAAGAGTATATAAAACTTTGCCCTTCCGAAGTTAACTTCCTTCTTGGTTGAAATTTTATTTAAGGTATTTTTAATTACAAAAAATTACGTATACGCACAGATGTTATTTTTACCTTGGCAGAGTATTTAATTTTAGTCAGAAGCTTGTAATTATGTGAAGGTATCATTTCCGACCTATAATCATATTATATACATATATATATTCTTGATCGGCATAAAAACTGAATCGATCTAGCTATCTCAGACAGAAAAAAAATCATTTTCTCCAAATATTTAAGAGGTAAATTTTAAAACAAAAAACTATAATAAAATTTTAATTTTTTAACAAATTGAGTATGCAGATTTATTAAATAAATAAAAACTAACATGGGAAAGCTTTCCGAATTAAACTTAATGCATTTTACCACTTTTTAAGCCTTTGATTTGTCGATAAATTGTCATATTAAAATGTTAATAAAAATAAATAATATATATAAAAGATTATTATATTATGGAACGATCCTAATAATTCTCTCTTATGTTAAATAGTTATTTGAACTTATTATTTATTATATACATATAAGTATTTAAAAAATGCATTTTAATTTCGTAATTTTAAAGTATAATTATTCATATTTTTATTGCTGATAATATTCCATATCATACTGAATTAAAAATATTGTGTGAGTTACTATAGATCCAAACATGGCAAAGGTCGAGCTCCGATTTACGAGAAATATTTCATGACCTGCATTTTAAGGGGATTCCGTATAAGCTGCAACTGAAGGCTTTCAAACTAAAATAGTTACAATAATAATATTAATATAATAATAGTTAATCCCATACGATAACTTACACTCTCTTCTAGGCGAATATCCAATCCATTTGCAAACAAAGTTCGCTCATCCAAAAGACGAATCATCTTTTTATGATCATCCTGGACATTTAGGACAATGAAGAGATTGATCATAGCATCCAGGTAATAGAAAAAGAACCATATAAACGTGGTGATTATATTCCATTGAGTCAGTTCAAATTTCTCAGTACCATTCCTGAGGATACTATAGGTCAGATAAAAGGCGCTCACCGTGGATATATAGTAACCGGAATAAACCATTAACCCTGAATGGCAAATATTTCTGAAAGTTGTGTGAGAATTTCCTGAAGTTTACTCTGAACTTTTCCTACATTTTCCAACTTATCCGCAAGGTTACAACACTTGGTCATAAAAGTGCCCTTTCGCAGACGATGATTACTCAGGTGTTTGCTCTCGTTGATCACCTGTTGGAGTTCAATGTTGAGCAGTTGATATTGTGCCCGAGCAAAAGCATCACCAGAAAGTGCTGTGAAAGTGCCAAATTCAATAAGCTGACATCCAAAACTGCAGACATAAAGTAATGAAAATCCCAGATCTAAAGTACTGATTCATCCAAAGTAATAAGCATATGCAGCAGGTCTATCATGGAATTGGTAAAGATCTTGATTAGAATGCCCAGCGAGACATTTGAATCAATTGTGCGTTGGCCAAAACAAGACCAATCACATTTCTAACCAGATTCTGTAAGTCACACCTCCGGGTCCAACGGCTAGAACCGTGATAGATCCTGAAAAATAATACGAGGGTAAGTATACTTAATTTAAGGAAACTGTAACTCACCGCAGCAATCCTCAGTCCAGTCAAAATTACCAAACATATTCATTCAGTTTATTTGCCGAGGCAAATGCAGTGAAATCAGAACCCTCGTACAGGTAAAAGGCCAGAAAATCACATAAAGCCATTGTTAAAAATGGCATAAAGGGTGCTCCTTGCAGTTGAGAAAACACGTCCTGTCTGCCAGTTCAACTCGAAGTTGGAAACGCCAATAAAGTGGCCGTAAAATAAGCAGCTTTGAGCAACAAATGAACCCAATGAAACATTTCGGAAAACTAACCCTGCTAACCATATTTCCCTTCTGTTAAGTTAATTAGTTTGTGACGAGCAGAAAATTAATTCACGAACAAAATATCTAGATAAGATGGGAGATATATAAAGGTTATTGGTGGTATTTTTGGTTTCGTTGTAATTGTTTCATCAATTTACTGTATTTTATAACCAGAGAGTAATTAAAATTATAATTTAATAGCAGTAAAGGTGCATTTCAAAACTATTACTAATCTACCCCCGAAACAAGTCGGATGCGTCATGCAGCTTCCCTTTTAGCCGTCATAAATCAAAATGTCACCGCAATTAAACTTCACACGTATTCACACCCCAAAAAGCACACACAGCAGACACCTCCAGTGAATCATTGATTTTGGTGGGTGAAAAAGGGGTTTATTTTCAGGGGGGTAGGGTGACCACAGTTCGTGTTGCATTTCCGTTAGTTATTCATGGTCAATAAGCGTGGGCTCAGACAGGGTGGGGGAAGGAAAAACAACAAACACACCGAAACACAGTTGTTATTGCATTAACCAATGTGTTTATGCTGCAATTTCACGCGGTTTTCCCCCAACTAATACCACGAAAGGCAGGGGGTTTCCTTTCCTTCGCAGGACTATTGTATAATTTATGCATTTGTTCCGGCCTCATATTATGGCGCTTTATCTCGCCGATTGTAATTTAGTTCATCAATTTAATTTCATTTGCAGTATTACGTTGCAGTTCACTTCAAAAAAATGTTTAATATTTTATTTTAATAATATTATAAATTTGAATTGTATTTTATTGAAAATAAGAAAATCATTAACTAATTACAGGTATTATATTTTTGGCATACCTAAATCAACTAAATCGCAGAAAATAATTATAATATGATGTTTTCCATATATTTTCATGCTGTATCATTATTTATTTATTCATTATTTATCATTTATTTATTTACTATTTTTATTTGACACAATTAGATATAAAAAGATATAAATTTTTTTTCAGTTCAGATCGAAAATTAAAGTAATTGGAGGAAGCCAGATGATATTCACAACATCGCAGCACCGAAAAACATAAAACAGAAACAAAACATCCCAAAAACATCGCGCCCCCAGATCGTGGAGCAAACCTCCCTCTCCCGGTGGCTTTTTGAACTTAGTTCTCCACCTACCGATGTTAAAGTTCGGACAATATCGATACTCAAATACTAGATCGATACACAGCCATCGTCTACTAGCCATCGATACTAGCAATCGAAATTAGTACAATTATTACAGCCGGGCAGAACAGACGCAAAAGTAAGACAAAAAAAGAACGAAAAGACCTCCGCGCCGGTAAAATGTGAAAAAAAATGGAACAGCACAGTAAAAAGAGTGGCAAGTGCCAAAAGTGCGTGAAAACAGCGAGCCCCACAGTGAAAAAGGTAAGTAAAGTGGGGCAGCTGAGCCGGACTCCTGTTTTTGTTTTTTAATTCATTAAAAGCCCAAATCAGTGCATTATTTGTTGGCTGATTCCTATTTGTTGTTTTTTTGGATGTGCAAGTGCAAGAAATATGAAGAAGTGTGGTGTGTTAAGTGTGTGCAACGCCGTCGAAAACGTAAAAGGTCTTTTTCGTTCTATTTTTTTGTCCGCGTTTCGCTTACAAATTCGCCGTTGGGATCTAGCGCAATGCGCAATCTATGTGGGTGAGTGAAACAACACTACTTTCTTATTTGCTTTATCCTCGAGGTTCGCTGCCCATGCGCTCGTCAAGCTTTTTCTTCTGTCTTTATCTGGCTCTCGCGGTGAAGGGTGGAACCTAAGAGCGGGATAGGATCCACTCTTGTGGCTCTCAATTTTGCATGTGGGCAGGTGGATTAGCTTTTTATTTCTTGGCCGTTGGAAGATCTGCGAATTTGAAAAAATGCCGACGGCTAGCGAAGCTTTCTTTTACAAAGGGCAGGTGGAAACAGCGTTTGTTTAGCTTTTTATTTCTTGGCCGTTGGTAGATCTTCGAATTTGAAAAAATGCCGACGGGCTAACGAAGCTTTCTTTTACAAAGCCCTATTTTACTATACATTACATTTACATTTAACATGTAATATTTTATATGCTTTGATCACAGTAATTAATTATATCATATTTATAAATGTTTTATACATCCCTTATTTTTATTTATTTCTTATTTCCTCTGATACTTTATTTAATTATTCATGACTTTTTTAATAAACTATTTTTGACAAATGTAAAAGTACATATTATTTTTTTTTTCAATAGTATAATTATAAACTAATTAAAATATCTATGTGCATTGGTTTAAAAACTGCTGAGGTTGTGCAAAAAGGTAGCTAAAATTGGGTATTGCACGAAATTAACGCCACCGGGTAAGCATGTGCGTGGCACTTTTATCAAATTTACGCTTATTGCATTTTAATTAATTATAAACAGGTAATTATGGTAAACAGACTGTGGGCCACCGCCGTCCCATAAAAACGAGGCTTACAAACATTACCAATTTACGAGGCACCAAAGTGCCACCCTGGGACGGGTATAATGTATATATAAAATTAATTTAAAACACGCCACAAAAACCCTTCGCACCCGTCCCCCGGAAAAGCCATTTCCATGGATCTCCGCTGGTTTACTGCAGTTTTTAGTGTCTCTTTGTAGTCGTTCCAATGCCTAAATGTTTCCGCCATAAATTTCCTGCATAATGCGCACAAGTGTTGATAATGAGTGTGTGTGCAAAGAGGGATAAACGGGGGCAATTGCTTAATGAATGATTTGAAAAAAATGAAGGGTTCCAAAAAAGGGTTTTCCAATTCTAGAGAACTTCCAAAACAAATAGGAGTTAGTTAAAAGCAGAAAATAAATAACCAAAGCGGTTAAATAACATAAAAATATATAAATCATGTTGAAAATAATCTAGAAATTATAATTTTCGGTGTGTATATTTTTCCCATTTACCAAAATAATAAGAAAACATTTAGAAAATTAATTTTGTGAATCCATGCAGTGGAATAGATGAGATGGCCGAACACTTCCATATATTCCATTGGTCGTCTTGGGGACTTTGTACCCTGCTAAATGGTCCATGGAAGGATCCGACCTTCGTTTTGCCTTTTTAGCAGGAGTCAAATTATCCTTAGTATATTTCTTATGAAGACGATTCTTTTTCGCATAGTACTCGAACATTTCTGCTCCGTATTTCTGAATACAATCGTTAAATACCACGGATATTTGAGCGTACTCCATCGCCTGAGCTTCTGGAAACCAGGCACTGCGTCTATTCCAGGTGAAACGGGTTTGTGCGATCTGACTACGTACCGCACGGTGTTGCAAGAGCTGATCCACAAATGTGATCTCGGGATCTGCTGGGTTTACTAGAAAAAGAAGCCAGTAATTACACTAAAGCGAAATATATTCGTATTTAAATATATACCTACATGTTTTTCTATTCATTTTGTTGTTTATTTGATTATTTCTTAAAGTAAAAATATTGTAGTCTCTTTTAGGGTATGACAAATGTATGAATTGCCTGCTATGACTGCATAAAAATATATTTTGTTCCAACAACTAATTCTAAAAATGCAAAATATTTTTTAATGTATAATTAGCGTAACAAAACAAGTACTAATTTAAAAATTAGTTACCAACAAGTTCAATGAAGCAATAAAAATAAAAATAATTGAAAAATAAGATTTTCAGCCAACCGGAAACGGAAATGTATTTTTCCTTCTTTTAAAATTCAAACTTCCCTTTTGCTTGTTATTTTGACTTAGTTTATTTCTCATTTTCATGTTTAGTTTTACAGACTAGGTTGTTTTTATGTCTCTGTTAAACATTTAATGGTAGTAATACTTACAAAAAAAGTATATATATGGATAAATGAAATGTTAACAAAATTCTCTAATGAAGGTAAATGGAGGAAGGTTTAGTTCTCTGACTTTTGCTACAATCAACCAGGTAGTTGAAGTAACCACCACTTGTTGACATTGTTTTCGTCATAGTTTTCTTGTTGTTATTTTGTATTATTATTTGTAAATTTACAACACGCACAAGAGATTCGCTTAGATCTAAAGTGGAGTTTATGCTTAGAGAGTTGCCGAGGATTTTTTTCTGCTTAGATTCTAGGTAAATTTGAGTTCAAACATTGCTGGCTATGTACAAGAAACACTCGTTTTTGGCTAAGTTTGAGGGGGTGGATCTTTACTCTCCTCCCCCCGTCTGGGGCCAGTCGTCCATCAATGCCAAGCTGGGCGGCTAAATTGTCTAAAATGTGTGCAAATTAAGCCACGACCTGCAGCTGTTTGGTTGGCCTTTTGTAAACAGTTTTCGAACCCACAATCGAACGGCCTTTGTATGCAAATGTATTGCATTTCCCACGCCCATTTGAGTTGGCAAAACATGCAATATATTAAGCCCTTCTTGCATGAGTCATGAACTCTTTGTTTTTATTTGGAATCGAGCGCATTCGAATGTGGTTTGTTGCCACCTTTTTGCATGTCTCACAATTTCCACCTTCTTGGCTCTGACTCAGTTTAAGCCGAATTAGCATAAGCCAAAGGATTAGTATCATGCACGGGGCTAATTTCTCATGGGGAAAATTTAGGACTCTGTTTTTTCAAATGGCTGACTCAACAGACACGAATGTTTAAGCTACTAAAATTGCTGAACCATAAAAGTAATGCTCTTGACAATTTCGTATCTGCATTTAAATCTTTTAAAGAATTAAACATTAATTAATAAAACATCAAATAAGAAATAAACAATTTATTTACAACTCTATTCGATTTTATTCCAGGTTTTCACTATAAAGATTTCCCCAGATTCAAATTTGAATTTAATTGAATTCTATAAATCAATCTGAAATGAACTTTATAGTGTAAGCCTTGCATAATGCAATTTAATGAATTTTTTTCCTTCTCTCAAATGCCGTTAAAATGAATTAAAGCCACAAAAAGTGTTATTCAGTTTAGGGAAAACAATAGGCAAGTTTCATAGGTTAACCCTTCCGTATTCCCCATTTGTAGTACGAGATGCCCGGCAGTTTTTCATGTGTTCCATTGAGATCTCCGAGTCCCGTCGCCTTCGCTCTATTTCTGTCTCGGTGTAGATCAAAAAATCCTCCCTGAGACGATTTCGCCTGGCATAGTATTCGAAATTATCGTTCCCATATTTATCCAAACACTCTGCATAGATCTCGGCATATCGATTATAAAATGAATTCTGTGCATTCACAAACCAAGAGCATTGCTTTTCCCAGGTGTCCCGGGTTTTCTCAATCTGGCTACCAACACACCTGTGATGCAGCAGCTGATCAGTGAATATAACTTCCTCGTTCATCTTCATGATTGCGGCTGATATGTGTTGTCCTTTTTTTATATATTTATTTAATTTTTAGTTTTTTTTCTTTTAGTTTTTGGAAGTGTGTTAACGGCTTGAGATAGTCATTTGTATTGATTTTAAGTTGGGAAATGATTATGAAAGCAAAGTAAAGTTTGAAAGGAAACAGAAAGCAGACGATATGAGGTTATCATAATTATTAAAATAATTATTTTAACATAAACAACATTACATTCCCTTGAACGAATTAAGTGCCATTTATTTCAGATGTTTTAAATTCAGTTTGAGCCTTAAGTTTTCCCTGGAGCTTTATTAGTTAATACTACCAAAACATATCTACCAGCTTGACATTGATGTGGCATAATTACATTCAGTTACACACACATTTAGATTCGAGACTTTTGCCAAAAAATTTCGCAGTTTTAAACTTATTCAATCCTTGGCCTTTTCTCTGTTTATTTACAGCTTTTAAATTTTTCTTATTCTTAAATATTTCTCTTTGAGGATTTTGTTGGAATGCAAACGTATGTCTTGCTTACTATTAGTTTAAACTTATATTTAAGTATTGATATTACATTATGGGTTATTTTCCTAATTTTCTCTCAGTTTTAAAGACCTTTTTTGCTTTACAATTTTTCTTACACTTGCTTACTTTCTTAACCTAGCCGCTTGTTTTAAATTGTTTGCAAAGTTTTGCATTGGTTAATGTTTTAGCTTTGATTTTGGAGTCTAGATTAAAGTGCAAATATGTATTTTTTTACAATTAAATGCTTTTTGTTGCGCTTGATATGGTTGACAAAATGCGAGAAAGGAAGGAAACAGTTGACTCAAAATGAAATTCTACCATGCTTCTACTTCCCTTCGTTTTTTTCAAAATGAAGAAAATATCACAAAAAGGTCAACGAATTTTCTGCCTAAACAACGAGTTCCTTAATTCTATCGATAATGGCCTAAAAGTTACTAATAAATATTTACATTTTCTTAGCCTCTGCTTAAATGCTCGCATTGAGTAGTTACGATTCCCGATACTTTCGGCATAATATCTGTCTTTTAATTTGGGTTAATTTCCCACATATTTCATGCACACATACACACATCGATTGAATTTCGAATTTTAACCAAAAAGGATATGTTTTAAGTAATGAATTTTGGTTTCTGTCTCAAAGATTTTTTTGGCATAGGATATGTCTTTTATTTTCAAACTGTTCTGCCAGCGTAATGGGTCTTAGTCCTTGCGATCCTTATTCTTGGGATAGTTAACTGTCTCGGGGCCAGGTCCAGTAGTTTTGAAAAATCAGCAGCAGGAATAATGGAGGCAATAGTGAAACGACTTGGGAAGGCAGCTGGGAAGATGCTCCACCTGTTTGAAAGAAAGAAGGTTAATTAGATTTAAATTCTCTTAAGGAATTATATATATTATTTAAGGATGTACCAATTGTACTGGACTTGGCGGCCACAGTTTCCCGAGATTCCAGGGCCGGTGCCCTCTGCTGGCGATCACTTTCCACACTCTCCTCATTGCTCTGCAGATATAGTGAGCTGATCTTGGCCACGCACTGTGGGAATTAATTTAAAAATTAATTTATTTATTTATTAATTAATTAAAATTGTGATTATATATCTCACCTTTAGCTTCATATCGCCGTGCTTGAAGTGATAGGCTCTTACTCGGAACTCCAGACCGAGTCGGGCCATTTCTAGCCCATCGCGATTTACTACGACCTTGTCGTATTGGCGCAGGTGCGTCTTTTGCACCGGTTCTCCGTTAATTAGCCAACTCAGGTGACAGACCGGCTTGGACGGCGATGAGGTGCAATTCACGCGGACGGTGTCACCGATTTGGTAACGCGGCTGTCCGCCGGTTATCTTCGGTCCGTGATTAGGAGTCACTGAAAACAAAAAAGGAAAACAATTTAAAAAAATTTAAAAGGAATTATGACGAACTTAAATTAAATAAGCAGTAAAGAAAAGCTGAAGTTGGAATAATTTAATAATTCCCATAGAGTCATAGCATTCATAATTCCTTAACTTTATTTTAAATCGTAAAGAAGGGGATTGTATTTTAATAGAAATTTTTCATTGCACCTTTGCTGGCGCAGCAGGAAAAGCTTTCATTTTCACATTTTCCATTCATTTTCCACAAAAGCTCTTGACGGTTTGCGGCAGGAATGAAAAGCTAAACGAGCTTTTTCCTTCAGTTAATTTCTTTAAAAATTAAACACAGGATCATATTCAAAATTTAAAATAAAAAAAAAACGTTAAATTACTCAAATTTTTCAGAATAAAAAGGAAGGGTAATTAAGGTGTATTAATTGTCAATTCATTTTTTAACTTATCCATACATTTTTGTAATATTTTATTATTATAGTAGTGCCCAGGGGGCTTTAAAAAAAATGCCTATGAAAAACGAATTAAAAGTGACTATAACAATAATAACAACATACATAATTTCATATGTCTTCTCCCATATTATTTTAAGTTAATAGCATGAAGTAAAAGTTGCTCATTGTTTTAAAACGTTTTTCTAAACATTCCACATCTTCATCATTAATAAATCCACAGCTTTTACTATTTGTTCAATTAAGTATTTTTTTGCACTTTAATTAAATTTCCCTGGACTCCAGAGCTCCCTCTTCGCCTATATGTTAGTACTCCCACGGTTATACCTTGATCTCCTCCTTGGCAGTCTCGACTGAGCTCAGTTATTTAATTTTAATGAGCCGGGGAAATTGAATATTTCCTAGACGTGAACTAGCTGGCCATTTCAGGCAACGTCCTGTATGTTCCCTTTTCCACATTCTCCACTACCCTAGGCTTTTTATACCCTTAGAAAAGGTATTTTAATTTCAGTCAGAAGCTTGTTTCTTCGTAAGGAGTCATTTGCGACCTTATAAATCATATATATTCTTGATCAGCATCAAAAACTGAGTCGATCTAGCCAAGTTTTGAAGAAAAAAATTTTGATAATTTTTTCATAGTTTTATCATTTTAAAATTGACAAAAGTGTACGAAAAAATTTTAATTTTTAAATATTTTAAATTGAGTATGCAGATTTAATAACCCAATAAATACTAACATAGGAAAGCTTTCCGAACTTAAATTAATGCATTTTGGCTTAGTTATGGGTAAATTTCTTTGCAAGGGTATAGTGATTTCGGTTTCCGAAAATTACCTTCCCTTCTTATTTTTATTATTTTATATCCAGCATCGCTTAGTTGCCCCACTGCCCCATAAGTGTAATGGAAAAGATGAGGTCGGGAAAAGGCCGTTTTCCTTTTGGAGGCTGGCCAAAACATTCTGAAGATTTATGTGGAGATTTTCGCCAGAAATGCGATGCGGGGGTGGTGGCCAGAAAAACAAGGAATCAGGAGGAGAAAAGGACTCTCGTTTTGGGGGCACATGAAATGCTTATTCAAAGTTTATTTGGCCATGTGTGTTAGCCTGACCTGCAGGGTTTCCCACACTTTTGTGTTGGTGTTCGTTTTTTTTTTTTTTTTTCTCACATGTAAGTGTATCTGTGAATGTGTTTTGGGAAATTTATACGGGATGAGGGGGAAGGGATGAAGGGGCCCATCACCCACGCCCAACGCCTTTTGGCCATATTTCCTAAGCATAAATGAGTTAACATAACAATACATGGCTGGAACTAAAGCCGATGTCTAGACACTCTGAAAATATAGGTTTGATATCTTTAAAAGTAGATTCTTCACCGGTTAATAAAACTATATTATTTTAATAAATGTAAAGTAATTACAGAAATTTTACAATTGGAAAGCTTTCGCTGATTGCTTTGGATTTTATAAATGTTTAAACTTTTTTAATTTAATTGAAACTTAACTTAAAACTGTTTTTCTTTCAAAAAGTAAATATGCTAAAAATGTATAAATTTAAAAAAATATATAAATTATTACTCTCCTTGAGTTACTACCATATTTTTGCATTGTCTTCCACAGCTACCTCTTGATTCTTCTCCATACGATTTGTCCATGAATGAACAGAAATAAAAACCAAGTCAAGTGGCAAAACAGGACCTGAATCAGGACTCTTCTCTTCTCTGGGGGCTGCCCATGTCCCCTTTATTCCTGCATTCCCTTCACTCCAAGTCGAATGTGTGTTTTCTGTATGCATTAAAAATATTCCTCATACCAAAAATGAACCAAAAAAAAAAAATCGAGATGAGATATTTTCATCCTCATAACATTTGTTGCTGCTGCTGCTGTGTGTATATGTGTGGATGCCATAAAATAAAATTAATTTTTAATGGTTTCAAAAAATTAATTTTCCTTAGAAAGTGCAGAGTGTTTTTGTTGGGTTTGTTTTTTTTTTTGTGGGTTTTTTGGTCAGTTTGTAGCTGGATTTTGTGAGGTCCAGTCTATACACTAAAAACATTATTGCTTTTAATAGAGAGACTAAAGAAAGGGTATATCTGACTCTATTATTATCATTATATTTACTTATTTAATTACTATTTTTAAAGGTTAATATTTGTGGTTCAAATCAATTGATTGGTAGGAGAAATATTTTTCTTTGAGTGCCTGAGCAGGTTGCCCTTATTCGGGATTGAATTTCTCTGTTTCGTTTGCTTATTTGTAATTTATAAAGTAAAGCTTGGCTCTGCTTTGGTTCTCCACTCTGCCATGTAAACTTAATTTTCTCAGGGAAACCATTTTTCCAGGGGGGAGAGAGAACAGAGTAAAAGAACTCTGTACTAAGGCAAAATGAAAGCAATCCTTAAAATTTGGCTTGAAGAAATGCATTTTTGATAAACGCATTTCGCTTTGTTGGCATTTCTTTTCTAAGAACTAAGTTGTAGTTAGAAAATTCACTTATACTGATAAAAGAAATCAATCAAGTGCTCATTTTTATGTTAAATTAATAAGCAAAATCATATAATTATCATATCAATTATCTGAATTCTTTTAAACCCTTCTCCTGGCTTAAAGAATCCTTAACTTGGCTCACCTTTCTTGGAATTATTTTTGGAATAATTGTTTATATATATTTTTCCAAGCATTTTTTAAGTCAACGCCTTATTGTCGCACTTAAATTTTATTTTGCGGCATAAATCTGTGAAGACAAAGCCAGCGGAGAGAGAAAGAGTGCCGACGGTGGAGGGAAAAGGACACGTATGACCCTATGAGTTGGCAATTTATTTCGGCCAGACTTAGCACGCAACGATAAAGGACACACACACGGGGAACAAGGGGGAAAAATCAGAGCAGATGGGGAGGAAAATTGTGGGTTCTTTTTGGGTGAAAAAAGCCGCAGGGCACAGGACCTGCAATAAGCCGAAAACTAAAAGCTAAGAGGGAAATGGCCGAATGTCGAATGGCCACATGCCTCAAGTATACTTTCAGCATTTTCCCATGACTAAACAGTTTCTGCAGCCGAAGAGAGCGGAAAAATAAAAGGGGGTTGGGGATATATACTACACCTTTTGTGCAGTAGCCAGAAAATAAAAATAAGTACAAAAATGTCTGAAGCACTTCACAGCAACAACATGCACAAGAATAGAAAAACAAAAATAACAGTATTTAAACCAAGAGATACAGTATCTAAATTCTAAATGGAAGATATACCCTAGGAATCTAGATTCCAGATTTATTTTTTAGCATGTAAAGCTTCATAAACAAACATTTATTGATGTATATTTCCTTAAAGTGTTAACAAAACATGATCGTTTATTGTTTGAAATCTGTTAAAAGTATCTAAACATTGTAGGGTTCCCTTAACCAATTTATTTATTGCTGTAATAAGCCCTACTTTCAATACACTTATTACAATTTTAAAGTTCTTAAATCATCTTTTCTTTAACAAGTATATAAATATATTTATTTAAGCTAATATACCCCCAATGATAAGTGGAGCAACCAGAACGAGGACAACTACAGTGAGTACTGTAAGTGGGCGTCATTTCATGTTTTTTTTCCTGCTCAGCTGGTGGTCTTCTTGTAATATGCTGCGGTATATTCTTTTTTTCTTGTTGTTACCTGTCAAACCTCCCCTTTTTTTTTGGCTTGAAGCGCACTTTGCAGCTTCTTCTTAGCAGGTGATAAGCCAGGTCAGGTGGCTGGGATTTTGGCAATGAGGGCTTTTGGTAGATGGTAGATGTGGCCCATCCCTCCAGGCATTCACCTGTTCTATTTGCAGAACAACTGTAGACGACTTCCCGCCGGAGTGAGTAAATGTGGATTATGCACATGTTGAGCCTTCGCTGCTAAAGTGGTTCCACCCCCCTTGTCTTTCTCTTTATCTTTTTTACTTTTTTAATTTTCCGTCTTTATCTTTGTCTAAAAAAAAAAGTTTTAATAAACATTTTCCAACATGATTTACACTTTGTTATATGAAATTATGCAACTCAATAGTATATGCCAGTGGTGTTGGAGAAAGGAAAATGTTAATGGTGATAATAAAATTATGTAAAAGAGCCATTTGAAGACAAAGAGATAATGCACATGAAGATGACACTATTTTAGCTTAAATATGATCAAGTCCTGTGAGTCCTGCATTTCTATAATATATTAAAGATATTTAATTCAAGAATAAAGGAAAAATAGAAGAAACTATTACGAAAATAAACAAAATTGATTCGATTAGAAAAGAAAATAAAGAATGTTGACTTAAAAGTGAAAAGTCTTTCGATCTAAAACGAATAAACATATTGAATGAAAGATAAACTATATTAAAAGTTATTTAATATAAAGAAATCATCAGATTTTAATCATTTGTAAGTAAGTGATAATGTATAAAACTGCGGCAGTTTTCCTCAGTAATGAAGCACTCCAGATGTACTTCAATTGCCACTCGACTTTTACATTTTACTTCCACATTTTTCTCTCCATGTTTTCACTTGTCCCTCCAGCCTGCTTTTCGCACTCCGTTTCATTTTCCCCCCTGCATCGACACTCGCTTGCCCCACGACATTTCTCGTTTGTTATCTTTAATTTTGCATATGGCAACGATTTTTAATGCACGATACCGAGTACCGAGTACAGAGGGTCCTTTCCCTTGCCGCATGGATCCTTCGCATGAGTTGCGGCATGTTTGAGTTAAGACAACATTACAGTAACCGTTACTTCCGCGGCTCTTCCATATCCTCATCTGCATCGAACTCTCCACTGTCCCATTGTGTGTGCTTATGTTCACAGAGAGAGAAAAATTTTGATACTACTTGTAAATTTAGATTACAAATATTTAATTGTAAACAGAATATCATGAAGTTATCATCGATAACTGAAATAAATCTTGATACAATAATTGAAAGGGATTAAAGATTAGGAAGCTTAATAATAGAAATAGGATTTTTCCTCTAATCAAAGGTATTAAAACGAATATACAGCTTAATTAACTCAAAACTCGCATGTTTTTCAAACAAATGAATTATAATCAATGTAAAATATTAATTTACAAAATTATCTTTAACCAATTAAAGTTTGAACATTATTTTTGTGCATCTGTTGCGTATCTCGCGTTGGTTTTATAATTAATGAGCACGCAAGGCTCTCAGCGCCTGGCACATGTCCTGTGCTCCACTGGCTCCCCTTTTCTGCCCATCCCTGTTTTCTGTGTGTCTCTCTGGATTCTCATCCTGGTTCTGAATTTATGGTTAAGTGCACTTTAAGGGACAAACACATATATAACTCACTTTTCCCGCTGAGTTTCTTCGCTCCTCGACCTATCTCTCTCTCCTTTTTTTTCCATCTCGGACAGACACACATATAATGTGATCGCTTATCGATTTTACAATATAAAAAAGCAATTGCCTGCATAAAGGACCCCTTACTTACTTCAGCAAGCAAAACCTCCCACTGGCAAGTAAAGTTAAATGTGATTTTATGAGCTATGAGGGTGGGCCTCACTGGGGGGAAAATGAGGTCTTCTGCCTTAATATTTATTGTAGCTCCCTGGCCTGGTCATACTAATGAGCTGTAAATTATCCAAAAGGAGGTCAAAGGCAAAGCTTTTACTAAAGTTTAAGGCATAGGAATTTGTGAAAACAATAAAGGAGATTGTAAAGTGAAGTTAAGGTTGCTAGAAAATTACTATAAATATTTAATTTGATCCATTTAATATTTATTTATTAGTCAGATTTAACTTTGGTTAATATTTTAATAGAAATCATAATTTAAGGCCGCGAAAATCCCATCTTTTGGGAATTTCTTCGTCATCACAAATGTTGTCGCATGACACTTTACGATCGCTAAATTAACATTGGCAACTGCCTTTGGGGACAGTCGGCTTTCACTGGAGCATATTTTATGGTTCACTTGCATTAGCAGAACGAGAAAAACCCCCGCCAAACCTCATTTCCCCGATGGTGCTGACACAGTTGTTGATGATTATGCTTCATCCTACTCAACTTTTGTATTTTTTCCCCTTATTTTGTTCAAGTTGCAATGCCCACAATACAGTGAATACCCAGACTTATGCAATATGCATTTTAAAGGGAAATTTATAAATAGATAAACAGTCTACTTTACTCATAACTATATATATATATATATATATATATATATATATATATATATATAATAGTAATCTTATGCATTTAGTTAGTAAAATAGCTTAATTTTTTAAATAAAGATTATTTTTCAATGCAACTGAATGACTTTCGAGTGCCAGGACTCACTGTACCTATTCCTTCAAACTCTCTTTTATTCTTCCTACATTTTTTTCCTGTTTTTCCTTTGCGACTTTGGTTCGAATATCGTTCAATTTGGCTGCCCAGACACATTGTTTAATATGCAAAACCATTTCCCATTTCCCCAACATTCCGATGCGCCTTCGAGGGGCGAGCGAGCGCTAAGGGAAATGGCCAAAAGGAAAATCAGCATGAAATGTGCTTAGTGCGTGGGCGAGGGTGTGGGCGTGGCAGTGGCAGTCCTTTTCTGTGCGATGTCCTGCTCCTTGTTGCCATAAGTTAATGCAGGTTTCTGCCCTCGGGGGCCTGCGGCTTTCATTGATGATGCTGGTGCTGGTTTTAGGAACGTAACCGGTGATGCTTTCACAGTATGTCCCCAGGGGGATTCCCCCTGCCTGCTACTGCTACTGCTTCCCTTGCACATATTGATAACCGTTTGATTCTTTTATGAGTTTATAAATTTCTGATTAACTTGAGGCGCAGTTGGATAACTTGATTTGGTTTGCTTGAAGAGTTCGATACAGGAAGTGTAGAAAGTCTGCCTGGAGTTATATGCAGGAAAAGGAAGAATAATCGAAACTAGGATACATTTTTCAATACATAAATAGAGAACAACAAAAGATTTGTATATATACATAAATTTATCTTTTATATATCTTTTAAAATAAATATATATATACTGCATCATTAATATCTCACTGGTTGTAATAGTCATGACTTTTCTCAGTGCATTCGTTATCCTTCACATTCAATGTATGTAAATGGTAAAAGGATTCTTCTTTCTATTCTAGTCAGCCTCTGCCAGATGGCGCCCAGTTTTTTACCACTTGAGAGTCGGACATGAAAACATAATTTTACTTCAAAATTGCAATGACAGTGGCAGCCAAGCTCCGCCCACCTCCGCCCATCGCCGCCCACCAGCCACGCCCCTTCACTGTACCCACATGTGCGCCTTTTGTTGGCGCTACGCCGACTTCAAAACTGCGAACGTCGACTGCAAAAATTCCATTTCAATTGTTTGCTTAGATTATGCAGTTGTATTAAGAGCAGTAGGGTGGCTCACAAAAAAATAATACAAAAATATAAAGGAGAGATGGGAACACTGTACAGTCCAGGGTTGCCAAGGCGAAACGCAAAGAAAGGCGGAAAAAAAAGGAAAATGCGAGGGAAAGCAAGCGAACAAGGGGAAACCTAGTGAGTTTACAAGGAGCCTGGGAGTTGAGACGACGACTCGACAATGCCATTTGCAACGCATTGCCATGTTGCATGAATTCCATTTACGGACTCTGCAACTGCGACTGAAACTGGAGAACGTATAGTTGAGAATGGCGACCGGAGATTGGGGGACTGGAGACAAGAGACCTGAGACCAGAGACCAGAGAACGGAGAACGGAGACCTCGGAGGCCAGGTGAAACACCTTCGCCGCCAGGTGCACTTTAAGTTGTTACTCATTCGCGGTAGTAGTTTGCCAGTTGAATGGGGAGAAAAACCCAAGGAATTAATTTCATTAAGATGATTAATGCGCTCGTAAGGGGATGAGATTTATAGAGATACTTTTAAGGAAAGATTCTTAAGGAAAAGGGTTAAAACTCTAAAGATATTTAAGAATTTCGGATAGTAACTATAAGAATTATGTCTGTAATGTGCAAAATATTTACTCTAAGTAATATATCAAGCTCATCTTTTTACATTTTGTCTTATTAAAAAGTATTTTAAAGTTAAACTTAAACCGAAAATCCCCCTCATAAGTCACCGAATTTCTTGTATCCAATTAAAGATATCTCTGTCTTGTCACTCTGCAAAAGGAAAAGAAAATACCCCTCAATATTCCATCGCGCATATGCAATGGAGGGGGAAGTCCTTGTACAGTTCATGTGCCATCAAAGAGTCCTTGACAGGGAGCTGACAACCTGCATGCAATTTACATTCAGCAGCCTCAGATTTCAGTTGCTTCGCATGCGTTTTTAAATGCTTTTTTCCCCTCATTCCGGTGACAGAAGTCTTCTGCCTCGTCCTCTCTGTAGTTTTTCCTTCAACTTGCCACCGTCGATCTGACTGGGCTGCCATTTGGCCCCCGCTCTTTATCCACTCCCAACAATTATGTTGCACATTCCGGATACAGAATACCCTGGAGTTCCTGCACCACTTGCCACTGTCATTCACAACATTGTTTGGCTGCTGCCCGGCACTATTAGCATTTTAATTAAATTTTCTGCTGTCGCCTCTATATATTTTTTTCTTTACCTTTCCCTTGGATCTGACCCACTCCTCCTCATCTGGCAAATTTCTTAAGTTAAACTCACCCACAACGGTCATGGTCTCCGACTCTGAAACGGTGTTGAATGCAGGCGCCTCGCCGGATACTTCGCATCGATATAATCCGGAACTTTGTAATGTAACGCGTCGCAGGAGAATCTGAGTGTCCGATGAGTTACGCAGCTAAGGAAAAGAATAAAACATCAAGCATAAGATTCAAGTAATTTGATTCAAAGTATTAATAATAAATATTTAAAGGACAAATGAAATATTCATAGAACAAAATGTACTTTTTTGTAATAAGATTTAGATTTGGGAGTAAGGTTGCTTTTAAGGTCACTAATCAGGAAACAACTCAGTTTGTTCTATATTTTATAATCTATTCAAAAAGCAAAATCCAAAATGTACTTTCTTCCAGTGCAAGAACTTGGCGAGATAAATTGTCCAAAGATGAATCGACACAAATCAAATGCAATTAGAGTTGAAGATTTTCTATGGATGATTTTTAACATTCACAAACTCTCTCCACAAAATGAAGATTGATGATCACAGGGAAAACCCAACACAGTTTATTATTAGTTTAGCTGGACAAGCCTCATCCCTCTCTCTCTCAAAGAATGTAATTTTCTCAAGAACCATGGATAAGAAATCCTTGAAAAAGAAAATAGAACGGAAAACAAAAGTCATAAAGCCAAAAGTCGGAAAATGAAATATCTAGAAACAATCGTACAGGAGTCTGAATAAAAGATGCGAGATACGCATGTGAGGAATGTTGTAAAAGTCACTCCAACCAGTTTTCCCTTTTTCTCGTTTTTCCCTGGGCAACAATTGCAGTCAAGTCAAGTTCTTTAAGTTGCAGTTTTATTATCACACAAACACACACCACATGCAGCAGAAAGTTTCATTTGATTCGAGCAAATTTTTATGAAAATTCTTTGCCTTTCCCTCGCTTTATGCTTTTCCTCGGCTTTTCCCTTCGCCTTACTCCAGCGTAAACAATCACAAAAGTCACGTTCAACATTATTTTTGGTTTGTTGCTTGTTTTTCTGTTGTCGTTTTTGCCACAGCACCCATCTCTCTGTCCCCTTAGACTGATTGTGGGACTGGCTTTTGTTTGTTGGCTTCTTGGCAGTACTTAAGCCGATTCTTCTCTGGCCATGTCTTCGTCTTTTTGCCAATTCTTTCGGCACGCTCAACTTGTCAGCACCCCCATTGAAAAATTTCCTCTCCGAAAGGATGCGAGGGGGGACTGGGGACTGACTGGTCTCGCCAAAAAACCAAATCTAGCCACAATTCAAATTGCAGTCTCTGCCTTTATTGCTTTCTCGTTTGGCCGCCTTAACCCTCTGTTGCCCATGGCTTGGCTGGAACATGCGCGGCCATTTTGCCCATGACCGCAGATTGAAGTTGTTATTTGTAACTCCAAATTTGGTTTTAGCCAAAAAAGGAATCTGGTCTCTAACCTTGTTTATCTTGGCTTGATTGCAACAACTGAAGGGAAGTTCGTTTGTGAAATGGAATAAAGATGGGGGGTTTTAATAGAGTAATGACATTGTATCTCCTAAACTTAATCTCTTTATATAAGCTTATATCAACTGCAACATAAGTTATTCCTTGTAGTCTGTAAATCTTATTCAATGCACATTATTCAGGATAAAATTCTATTACACAATCCATATTCCTTGTAATCCCTCAATTATATAAAGTAATTTCTTGGTTTAGTGCTCTCTATGAAATTTTCCCACTTTATCAAGCTTTTTCTCCCCTTTGGGGGGCTCCTTCTCTCTTTTGTTCTAATCATTTCCCTCCACTCAACGTGGCCTTCAACCCTTTTCGAAATGGCGGAGACCAAAATGCAGACATTGAAACCAAAACGAAAATTATGCCGCATTACGCATTATGCTTCCACTGAAGGACTCCCCTTTAGCTGGCACTTTTTCCCTTTTTCCCCAACCCGCCCACACATAATTTTTCCTTTTGCCTTTTCTCGCTTTTCCCTCCCCGCTTTCCAACCGCTTGGCCACACGCACACAGGCCATAAAATACGCTGGCACATTGCTCATACGCCACGTTAGCCCCGACAATTGACGGGATTTACTTTGCGTTGCACAGAGGGAAACGAGTGGGAAATTAGTAGTAAAATTAAAAAAAATTATTAAATGATATATTTAAATTATGCTTTAAACGTACAAATATATAGTTTATGACCAATTTGTTAATTTAAGTGATGAAATTACTTGGTTCTTTATTAGGTCGACTTTTAATAGGTTAACTTTGCTCTCCAATTTAATGAAAGATAACATTTTACCCATTTTCTCTCTGTGTATCCGCCGTCCTTTTTTCTAGCCCTGCTTTGCTTTGACTGGCCATCCAACAAAGTAGATGCACTTAAGTGCTTTTGGCAAATTATTATTATGAGAACGGCTAAAAGTGAAGTGAGGGGAAGTTGCAGAGGATATCAACTTTGTCTGGGATATTGACAGCTTTAAGTGATTTCCGTTAACCTTTTCAATCGCCAGAGAAGCAGACCAACACGTGACCTTAGCTAAGCCAGAAGAAAGGGAAGGGGCGGTGCAAGAAAAACAACCCACACACAGAACACACATTTTTATGGGCAACAAAGAAAAGGTTACATCCACATTAAATTAAAGTTAAATGGCAAAACTACGTGGCAGCAATTTTCATTCCAGCGACGACGTAATCAGCAACAAGCAGGAAAGCAGCGAAATCGGGAGGGAAAATCGGGCGGAAAAATGTGGTGGGAGAGCTGGGAGCTGGGTTGCGCTTCTCCATTGCGGCAATTACATGTTTTAAAATAATCATTATGATCGGGGTCGTAACACTAAATCCTAAAGGAACCTCTCCCTTGGCAACTCTGAAATCAGTACCGTAAATTGTAATAAAATTTTAAATTAAATTTTTTCCGCTTCCCCTGATATTTTTGTTTCTTTTGAATAAGCAACACCTGTTGCCGTGTTTTGTAAACACTGGGAAAAAGTATAGGTATATATATAGGAAATAAATTGTAGGAAATGTAAACATATTTCTATATATTATTTGTATTGTATTAGATATTTGTTACAGTGCACTTACATCGATGTTGACTCCGGGTAGAGGGAACGCCTGTCCCGGGGCTTATCGCGCGGCACATAGCGGTAGATCTCGTGGCCATCCTTATACCATTTCACCGAGTACAAGGACTCCCCGTCGAGGCATAACGACAGCCCAGAGTGGCACTCTTCAGGCGCATTATGTGATTAGGTATCTTCACCTCGGTCATTGTCAGCGAGCTGGTAATGTCTGCAATTAGCGGGAAAAGAGCATTGAGAAAGGTTCTTATTGTGGCGAAATTATTTTAATGGCATCCCTTTGGCAGTGCCATTTTCCATTTTCATTTCCATTCCCATTCCCATTGCAAACTGCAGTTCAACTTATCCCCTTAGTTCTTATGCGCTAGCTCACATTCATATTTCAACGGTTATGATTCCAGTTGGCCATATCTTCTCCCTAAACTGGCCCGAAAGCAAACACAAAAAACCTCTTGCTGGCCCCTGTCACATGAATTTTGACTTGTCCTGCAGGACTCTGGGCACTTAGATTCGGGCAAATCCAGTGCACGTCACTGCAGTCCACAATTCACGTGTAAGGCTAAATGAAAATACGCCAGCAAAAACTCGACATTTTGCTAAAAAAAATGATAAGAACATCAAGTAAGAGTGCGAAATGTCGAATGCCCTAACAAAGGAATTTTCAGGAAGGTTTAAATTATATTTTATATGTTATTATAGCCTTTCAGGGTATTATAATATTAATCAGAAGCTTGTAATGATGTGAAGGAGTCATTTTAGACCCTATAAATCATATATATTCTTGATCAGCATCAACAGCTTAATCGATCTAGCCTTGTCCGACAGAAAAAATATTTGAAAATTTTTTTCTTAATTTTATAGGCGTAAATTACATTGTTAACATTTTTAAAAATTGACAAATTTAAAATTTGTTTAAATTTGTAAACTAAGTATGCGGATTTTTTATCCTTATTAAAACTAAGACAGAACAGTTTTCCGAATTGAAATCAATGATTTTTTGGCTGAGTTATGATCAAATAATATTTACACCATGACGTATACGTAATTATTTTGGGACTGCTTTCGAAATCTATTTTTATACGTTTCCAAGGTTTATAATTTTAGAAAGAAGAAAGTATTATATGAAAGAGTCATTTCGACCCTATAAATCATATATATTCATGATCAGCTTGAAAAGTCGAGTCGATTTAGACATCTTCGGCAGAAAAACATTTTATTTTTTCCATTTTCGAAATTTTTGAAGAGGTTTCTTCTTAAAAATTAAACAAATTTTTTTTTTTACATTTTAAACTGGGTATGCAGATTTATTAAGCAAAATAACTATATAGGAAAGCTTCCGAACTATATTAATGAATTTGCTAAGTTATAGTTTTATTATGATTTGTGGTAAAATTGGCTTTGAAAAGTCGATAATTATCGATTTACGATCGATGAATTGCAAACTGACAGTTATAAAACTTATTTTTTCCGAATAAATTTCATTTATTTTTTATTTTAAAAATCTTAACAGTTTCTAAAAATCTATAGAAATTCATATTAAATTTCATTAATTTACTAAAGCAATTATATTTTGTATAACAATTAATGAAGCATTATCATATTTTAATTAGCAATCAAATTCCATTGAATATAATATATATTGCTAATATTTTGCATATTTATTTTATTAAATAACAATTTACCCTTTGAAAGTGAGTCAAAGCCAAACTCAGCTGAAAGCTTTTAAATCACAAACAGTGAAACTCGGAAAATATCCTTCCCCCCCCCACTCGCCTTATTTGCCTTTCTGCGACATTTTGGCGGGTTTTCGGTCAGTCCCAGTGAGACTAACGGTACCCGTAACGGGGACCCGCAACAGAAGCCGTTGTATTTGCTTTGGCGTCGTTGTGGGTGGGCGATACGCCCACTTATTTAATATACCGCTACACTTTTATTTTTCCAAACGTCAAACGTGAAAAACTGAGTTCGTTTCGGTGGGAAAAGGAGACAGGGAGACTGAGAGAGCAGGAAAAAAACAAATACACACGCACACCACCGCAGAATCACACACAGACACACATACAGCACACAGCAAAAGCCAGACGCATATGCATATGTGTGTGGTGTAACGTGCAGCGCCGCCATTGAATTTATCACATTCACATGCAAATTGCGCCAAACGACCTTATTATGCAAATTGCCAACTGCAAATGGAGAACGAAATTGATTTTCCTGCATTTGCGAATAAGGAAGACGAAAGAAAAGTGGCAAAAAGGAATGGGAGGACTCATGCACAAGGAACTAGTAGTGGGCACAGTGGTTACCCGATAAGGAAAATGAATTACTACACGGAAATGTGTAACTTACACGATCAGTTAAATTGCTGAATTAAAGAGCAGTAAATGCGAAAATAAGAAGGCCAAATTGGTTGTGTTTAGTGAAGGGAGATTTGAGTTTATTTACGTAACAGCATATATATATTGAAATATTAGTGAAGTTATGAAAGAAGTTATATTTTTAAGCACCTGATTGTTTGCATATCTTATTTAAATATAATTAATAGAGAAATGTTTCCATTTGAATTCATATTTCCAAGTTTTTAAATGTGACATTTTATTACACAATTTTTCATAGCATACTTTTAGGGTATTAAGTTCATTTTAATTATTCATTCAGTTGAACTTTTTTTGTGTTTATTACCAAGAATTTTACTTCTCGTAAACCAATGTCCCATATTAGCCTCATATAATACCTTTTCACTTCTTTCCTTACCTTTTCCATGAAGTAGACTGGGAGGTGCAAAGAGAAAGGATCTGCTATTGTCTATAGCATCGTTCAACAGTTTTGCGGCATTCAGCGAAGCCACATTTATATGACAACTAGCGGCTAAGGATAAGGCAGCAGACCCACACCTTAAGTGGGACAAAAAAGAGATAGATAGAGAGAGCCAGAAAGAGAGAGAGAGTGTGTGTGGTTTATACAGCGACAAATGGCGAATATATTGAGCTGTCACAGGGCCCACTCAAAAACCCAAGCCGGAGGTTATGCAGACAAACAGACAGACATACATACACAGGAACTGTGACTCAGTGGCATCGGTAATATTGAACAATGTGAACACAAATCGGTGGTCGAAACACTTGGAGAAATACATCACTTTTAATAAGTATAAAATATAATTATAAATTACTATAAACTATAACTAATAAATAAAATTGTTAACGTTTTCTAAAAATCAAACAGAAATGAAAAACGAATGCATTCAAAAATTAAATAAAAGAATCTGGCCAACTAGGCGTATGTGTAATATTATCATTATTAAAATTACGCATACGCATATATTATTGCAGAAATTGCAGGTCAAAAAAGTTAAAAAAAATCTGATTAATTTTCTTAAAAATCAGTGAAAGAAAAACTGCATTTAAAAATTTAAATAATACAATCTTGCTAACTAGGCGTATGCGTAATATATCATAAGGTTAACATTACGCATACGCCTAGTAAGCCAGCATATGTATCTTTTTCTTAGCATTTTACCGTGCAAAAAGGACTACATAAAAATATATAAATAAAAACAATCCGGCTAACTAGGCGTATGTGTAATATTAACATTATTTAAAAAATTACGTATACGCCTAGTAAACCAGAATATTGTAGACTTTTGTAATAATTTTACTTTTTTTGCACTTCAATTAATCAAAATATTATAAATTCTGAAATTTCCACTTTCACAATTTGCCAGGAATAAAGAATAATTTTTTCAAGTGCATTATCCAGTCACAAAAAGGGGATAGAACCAAGAAGAGCGGGGAAAGGAAGTGGAAAATCGCAATCGGAATCAGAATCGCAGTCGCGCCTTCAATAAAAAATACGTTGAATACTTTCAGCGTGTTTGTTGGCACGTGTGTGTGTTGGTGTCCTCGTGTGTGTGTGTCATGTGTGTGAGTGTGTGTCATGTGTGTGTTTTGGTGGCAGACAATTGGCATAAAAAAGAAGAAGATACGGCGTTGGCAACCACAAAATGAGTTAGTTGTTTGCCTTTTTGCTGCCCCACCATTTGGGCTCGAATATTTTATAGTCCCAACAAACAACAACAAAAGTCATGCATTATAAATTCATTTCCATGTCGGCATATTTTTGTTAACCCAACAGAAGAAAAAGGCATATAAATGGAGTAGATGACGGCATAAAATGTGCTAATAAGCTATGGATTTGTGCCACTCGAAGCGATAATATGAAACCAAGAAGAAGTTGTTGTATAAATTATAGAGTTGCTGTATTAAAACCAACATTAGGCATTTATTAAGAAATAATTTGCATATCTTTAAGTAAAGAATCTAGATAGACTGTGGCGAAAACGAACTCTTCAGTTTTTTATCCGATTTTTATCCTTGAAACAATGTACATTATTCAATTGTATATTATAATTACTGTCATACAATTTCTTCCCATATGCATTAAATATTTAATTAAAAATTCCTAAAACATTGCAAGATCCTAGTAATTTAAGGCAACCATTCTCATGTCCTGCCAGAGAGAAAACGCCCATCCTTTTTACCGCCTTAATTGCAGTTGACTGGCATTTGACTTTGCAAATTGGCCTGGGACATTACTCCTTGCCCTTTACCCTTCCATTTCCTTTTCATTTTTCCCTTTTTCCCAGTGCAACCCTGGCTGCGTAAATGGTGTGTGTCCTTTTTTCTGCAGCAGACTACAGTAACAGCAACTGACTGCACATTAAAAATTAAAAAAGCCAACAAAACGATAAGGGAACTTGAGACAGCCAGCAAGAGAGTGACAGCAGTGGAGTGCATGGAGTTTATTAGGGTGTTTCTAGGGTTTGTTTTAGTATATTTTATAATCTGGTTTATAATTTGATTTTATTTTAAAATGTTTTCCATAAATTAAATCCCAAAAAACTAAATAGGTAACTTCTTTAATGAAATTAATTATACCCTTGCATTCATTTTAGTCAGAAAACACTGTGAAGGAATCGTTTCCGACCCTATAAATCATATATATTCTTGATCAGTATTTAAAGCCGAGTCGATCTAGCTATCTTCAGAGGATAAAAAAAATTAATAATTATTTCAACTTTTTTAAGGGGTAAATTATATCTATAAATTTTAAAAATTGACAAAAATTGAAATAATTAAAATTTTATATTCAGTATGCAGAATAAATAACCTAATCAAACTAACATAGGACAGCTTTCCGAATCAATTTTATGCT